CATGGGGGCTCCACACACTTAAAAGGAGAGGAATGACATGTATTGATTTGCTTGTGTGCTGGTTTAATATGTGTAGCCTTTTTACTTAGCTCTGTGTTCCATGAGCTCTGGGACTGTTTTATTTTTTATTCAGCGTTGCCTGGGGTCTAACTCAGTGGAGGAGCGACGTAAATGTTTGCGGAATTGAAATAAAGTTGAATTGAAGAATGACAAAGTGGTCATTAAAATATACCCAAGGATTTAACTTGCCCAGTCCTTCTGTTCAGATTCACTCAGATCCTCTCTCCCTCCCTCTCTCTCCTTCCCCAGGAGGGGTGATTAATAATTCAGCAAACAATAGTGTATTCTGATGGCTCCGAATATAACAATTTAATTGATATTTGTTTCTGCAGCAGTGCAATATCTCATTTTCCCAGGAGGGCAGTTTTCCATTTCTGTTCCAGGTTTCTCCCAACAAAACAGATCAATCCTGGGAATACCTGAAGGCCATTTGTTACGAAAGAAAGAATGCAGGTAGCGGGTTTGAAAAAGACACAGTTCTGTAGCAATCGGGTTTTTAAACACTGACATTTATTTAGGGGGTTGTCAATTCATACATTATTAGGATAAATTCTAATTTATATCAGTATATAGTAGGCAAATATATAATACCATAAATTGCATTTGTATACATAAATACAAAATTTGAGGTAGGGCCTCAAGAATAATGACTTCTTAAATGAATAATGTACAGTATATAATATGTACTCTATAAGATATATATATATATGATGCATCATTTATAATGTAATATATTTTCTTCATGTACAGTTAATGAAAAAATATAAGGACCTGATTAGGGAACATATCTTTATTCATAGGCGACAGGACCACATAAGATGCCTGCATTAAGGACAATAGCCAAGTACGCAGTTAAAGAATAAACCTATCCCATGATAGGTCCATATAAAGTGCAAAAAAAAGACCAAAAGAATGAGACACAAAACAGTTCCTAGTCAGTTACTAAGTATCATCCTAACAATAAAATACACCTATAAGGCAAATGGTTACCTGAAGATGTATTTAATCCATGGCAGGCAAATCAAGCCACTGCTCTCTCTTCAGGGGTGATGAATACCCAATCTGAGAACACTTTCTCTTTGGCTGCAGGCTGCTCAGAGGTGACCAAAGCAGAGACCACGATTCAAAATCACTTGGTCTTTCTGCACAGTTGAAGCAAAGTCCAGGAAAGAGAGCTTTACTTTTGCAAATCCTCAGACCACTTTGCAGAGAAATCAGCATTAAGGTTAGATCATCCAAACCTTTGCTCCCAACCTGGAGGTTTCCAATACAATACCCAGGAGGAAACAGAGGTGAGACTCATTCGTTAGCCTTGGCCTGTTTTCTCTGCAAGAGAACCTACCACCCAGCCTGCAGAAGTGTCTCACAGACCCAAATCCAGGTAGCAGCAGCAGGATCTTGCCATCACACTTACATGAAGCATTAGTTATTGTGCAAGTCTCTGGTGAAAAGAATGATGACCAATGGCCAAGGGAACAAAGAGAGAAGAAAAAAAATCTTAGTTTTAGGCATGGGAAAACCATGCTGACAGGTCAAGTTTATCAGAAGCACTGAGGCACATACAGATAACAGAACTAGAACTTAAAGGAAAACTCAACTCCAGTGCAACATTAGCAAAGACAGCCCAAGTCTTATCCATTTCCGGGTCATTGTGTTCAATGTCCTTTTAAAGTGCCACTCACTGAAATACAAGTTGACTCCATTTCTGACCTATTAAAGACACATTGGAAATTTCAAAGACGTTGAGGTCATCGAGATTTTGCATTGACCACAGATTTCATGCAATAAATAAATATAAGAGAGAAAGAGAACAGACCAGACTGGACACATTTGTACATGACAAATACACAGCCTTAAAGAGATTAAAAGTTACTAATACACAAGACAAATAAATGCATAAGAAGCCACAACACCAATTGTTAAGACATACACATATTTTTCTCCTTTAAGGATATTACAGGGTTACTGTTTTTAACATATGGCTTTTTTTTTTTTCTCGGAATGGGTTTCTGGCATTTGTTGGTATCAGGAAACAATTTCACAAGTAGAAAACACCCCACCATTCTGCACAGTGAACCAACGCAAGCCTTTCCTCAACAACTTGGTCTTTGTCTCTGTTCTCAAGTCACGCTTTATGACAATGCTGTTCCTTTCATTTTTATTCACTCATTTTTTTCCTTCCACTTGACTGTGCATTTCAATAGCATGGAAACATCCATCTGGTCATATGCATCTCAGCTCTTAGCATCCCAGCCAAGCCTAGGGGAGGTACAGCATGAGCAGACTGGCCATGAGTGGAGACAACTCAGATACCCAACACTACTCTGGCAAGGAAAGCCTCGAAAATTAAACAAGACTGTAGAAAGAGACAAAACTAAATTCACAAGGTAACCATTCCCAGATAAGCTTAGAACCTTCCACCTTTAAGGACACTGTACACAAAATTTGGACGCTGTAGGAAAAAAGTTTTAAAAATACAGACAGACACACACACATAAACCCAGTTGCTCAGAGAACAGCCCCTGGGTCTTAACTGGACAAACTGTAATGAACACAAATGCAAAGTGCAAAATGCACTAGTTAGTGAGGCTGTCCCCATTCTCATAATGAATCGAACTTGCGGTGTGTACAGAACAAATCTGGCAGCATCCATGAGTTCACCTCATCCCCTTTTTAATCACAACAGCAACAATTAACAGAAATTGGGTTGGCATCCAGCATCCGACTCAAACTTTAGCCAAGAGGCAAGAGAGGAAAGCCAGAAGCCACGCATCCTGATGGAAACCCATCGTTCCCATGGGAGGGTGCCAATTGATTTCAGTGCTTTTCTTCAATGTTCAAATTGGAAAGGCTGCAGATCCTTTCCAAACCAAAGCTAGTCCTCCCTTCCTCTCCCACCCCGTCGGATACCAAGGGGAGAGGCTAATTTTTGGTACCACCGTGCAGGATCTGCTAGAGCCCTGGGGACTTCTCTTCAATATGGCTTTCTCGGGGAAACCAATGTTAATGCTGGACACGTCAATATGGGAAACACGGGCAGGAAGGTCATGGCTCAGTTTCCTAAAGCTACGTCTAGGGGAAGCTTAGGGTTTAATCTCTGTGATGGATTCCAGTAAGTTCTAGCTTTGGGAGGCAAGCAAGCAGAAAAAAGGAACAGGAGGAGGAAGAACAAACACGCCTTGAAAACAAAAGAGATGAAAAACCTGAAGTTTGAAACCCATCTGCGCTTCCTTTTTTGAAAGTTTCCACAGACTACTCTTCAAAACTGGAAGTTCACATGGCAAATGACAATGATATCTGCCCCAGAAAAGAAAGAGCTCAGTAAGATGAGCTATTTTTTTTTCTTTAACAAATGAAGTTATTTTTTAAAAAAGTATTACTTTAAGGTCTGTTGTTGGGTTTCGTTACTGTTGAAAAGGATGAAAATGTCACATCAATATACAAGATTTGAACTGAAAATTTTGCCTGAGACCCTAAAATATGAACACAAACAAATAAGAAAATGATTGCAATGGTCTCCCCTAAGGAAACAATTTTAAGTTTAGATATTATTACTGTAAGGGGAAAAAAAAAAAAGACTATACTATACTATACTCACCATCTCTACAGTGATTCATAAGATATTTATAAGGACAGAAAACACCATTACAAGTACACACTACGTGAACACATATCACATTTTAAAAATCTCATATATGCATGTTCAGGATACAAGAAGATAATAGAGGTTTCAGCTTCGCCAATCTCTGTAGACATATGATCCGCTCTCATTAGAGTGTGATTATGAGTATTGTGAATCGGGAACTCTTCAAATGGTATCAGCTAAGTGTAGTCTTAAAAGCAGTAGCTCTAATTGGCTCACCTGCTACTTACCTAACCTGCATCTTTCAGAAACTTCTGTACCTACAGTGACCTAAAGTGCAGTGAGTATTATGGTTGCTTTCTTTTCAACTCTCCACTTCTTTGATTCAATAGCTTCAACTGGCATTAACTGTGAGTGCAAAACTGAAGTGTAAGAACTGAGACATGATCTGTCTTTCGAGAGTTTGTGTCTGATATATGTAACAGACAGACAGAACCAGGGTAAGTCTGTTTCTGAGCGACAAGGTAACTGCAGCTCACAGAAGGACATTTGGATGAGAAGACACGTGGGATGTGACACTGAACCACGGTACTAGGCCTACGGAGAAACTACAAGGGCACTCTGGTATGACTGTGACATCGGGCACAAATAATATGATGCAGAGGTAGAGGAAAGGACCCAAAGAATTCACAACTATGGTCACTAAAAAAAAAACCAACTGAGGGAATAGAGCTGACTCTTCATTGAGGGTCTCAGCTTGCAGAGAGAAAGCCTGTGAGTCCTTGAGATAGTTGGTCCAAGTGATGGAAACAGAGCCCCAGTCATGAATGGAAATGGGAACTTCATCACCTTGGGGGTGTCTGAATCCACCGGCCTCATCTTACTTGAAAACATTCTCTGACACTGCCCACCCTCCAGAGGTACCGTGTCCTCAACTGTGTGTGCCTGGACGAAACCACGACATGGCTCAGATGAGTCCAAACCAACCGTCTGGTTATCCTGCATCAGCCTGACTGGCCCCACCAGTGACAGTCACAGAGGATGCTTCCCTACAGACCAACTCACGGACATCTACACGTGACTTGGCTGGGAGGCGCTCCCCTCGTTGATTCGAGCCTGTGAGGCAAAGCCCACTGGAAACTGACAGCGTGGACGCAGGCAAACCGAGCCCCGTCTGGCTCTTGGCTACAGCATGCAACACTATGTCCTACTTTTCTAAGTCATCACTCTCATGCACAGGTATGAACCGAGATGTGCAGAGAAGGAAGAAGACAAATGGGAAGACGGCTGGGGAAAGCATCAGGAAAAGGCAGAGAGGAGAAAGAGAATCAAGTCTGGGCCATCCCATGCCATCGGACTAGCACTGGGTGCCTAGTTCCAAATCCTTCACTGGCAGTTTGAGTCCCAGCGAAGAGGTCCCCAAGGGGTCGATCATGTTCTTGTAACGCTCCCCACGGTGCTGAGCTAAGAAGGGACCCCAGTCCGGCTGCGGCGAGCACACCAACTTCAACCTCTGTAAAGAAGACACACAGGGTCACAGAAGCAAAGCACCCTTGTCCCCCAGACACCACTCACCCATCCGCAAACTGCATGCGATCACATGTGCCAGGACACCTCCTGGAACCAAGAGGTCCTCAACCGGGAGAAGCAGTTAGGAAGACCAGCCAATGAGGCCAGGAATGTGTTACGGAGGAAACTTAGTTTAGTTCACCTGAAATTATTTACATCACCCTGCAATCAATAGTACAGTTGCTCAGGGTTTGCCATGCATAAGATTAATAGAAGATAAAGGGCCCAGATTCTAATTATACATTTTTTTCCCCTCCAAATGGAGAGGATCCACAAGCTACTTTCTCTACTGCCAAACACATTCTGCAAAGGACATGTACTCAATTACTTTGTTCTAGTCTCAACAGTGAGTTGTTACATCAAAATAATTGGATTTTGTTTAGCATATTTCCCAAAAGTATATAAATGGCCAGAAAAAAACACCCTCAACCCCAAAGATACACTGCCAAGAGTGAGCAAAGATTTTAATTATCTGTTGACAAAAATACATGCTTCTGACTTGGTTCAAAAGTGTGGGTTCTTGCAGGAGAGCTAAAAATAATGGGAATGTCTCTAATCCTTGAACATTTCAGGGAAAACATAATTTGACTGGAGCATTTTCTAGAATAAGGAAAAAGAAGGCAGATTTCTGACTACATCAGAGGGAACAATGATGTGTTTATTACCTATTAAAAAGAAGCTGCTTCTTATAGCTGTTAGTTTAATCTCCCCCTTAATCATCAGTTTGCAACCTTTGTGTCCCAAATTAACCATAATAAATTTATATTGCCGACTCATCAGTTTAGAGGATTTCAGCCTAAGACAAGAGTAGCAGAGGCTAACGCAGCTTCTGTTCAGAAGGAAAGAGGTTACTGGGTCAGGGAGTGAGAGTCCACCTGAGGCTGGAGCAAGCCATCCTTGGGGGGCAGTGGACCATGTCAATGCACCTTAAGGAGGTAACAGAGAGAATTTCCTGAGGATGGAACCTGGACCAGTGCTTCAGGAAGAAAACTCCTGCATCTCTCCGCCAACTCTGCCTCCATCTTTAGTCCAGAAAAACAAAGATAACCTCCTCATCGCATGCACATTCATGTAGCCTACTCACTCACGTGCTCTCTTCCCATCTGCTGTTCCCCTCCCGAGCTTGAGATGCTCCAGGGCGCTCTCTTCCTCAATCTGGCTGACCTAAGGCAAAGCCCACCAAGCTGTTCTTCACCACCAGCATCTACACATGTGTTTCTTCACCTTGTTCTCACCCAGGGCCTCTCAGGCTTGCATTCGCATCAGAATGACCTGGGGGTTTGTTACACAATGGCCACCAGAGTCCCACATCCCTGAGATTCTGGTTCAGCGGAGCAGAGTTGGAGCCTGATTATTTGCATTTCCAGGAAGCTCCAAGGCTTCCCTGGCGGCTCAGATGGTAAAGAATCTGCTTGCAACACAGGAGACCTCAGTTCAATCCCTGAGACGGGAAGATCCGCTGAAGAAGGGAATGGCAATCCACTCCAGTATGGAGAATTTCATGGACAGAGGAGTCTATATACCGTCCATGGGGTCACAAAGAGTCAGACATGACTGAGGGACGAACACTTTCACTTTTACTTTCAAGCTCCCAGGTGGTGCTGGTCCCTGGGCCAGGCCCTGAGTACCACTGATCTGGACAGCAGCCCACTGGACCTCCAAGACAAGGCAGCACGGATGGCTTCCTAGCACGTCTGAGCACTTGATTTCTCATGAATAACAAAACCCCGACCACACTTCACCGGTGGCTCAGCAAGCGGCTGTCCCCTTACCATCCTCTTCTGGAGTGAGGGTGGGGAGCTTTTCGCATGAGGAATGGGAAATGGGTACAGCAAGGGACTAACTAAGATAAGCGTCACCTCATACCAGCCATGCCCTGGACCTTTCATTACATTCTACGGGAATGTTACATTCTAGTGACATGTTAACCAGCTTGGATCCCTCAGCTGAGCCTAGTGATTTTAAATGTAACTGGTAAATAGGTGTTTGGAGGGGGAGGTGCCTCCGACAGACAGAAACATCAGGAAAGGGGCGATCTGCAGTGTGGTTAACAACCAAACGCTGGGATTTAAACTCTGGGTGAAAAAAATAATAAATAAACTCTGGGTGAGGGGAGAGGAGGAGGGGGCACGTGGAGAGAGGAGACACTCTGATCACTTATTTTTCAGAGCTGTTACTGCTCTGGGGAAGAACACAATAACAGCTCGGAGCCCCTCCATTAGAGGAACGACACATAATAAAAACAGGTTTAATAGAAACGATAGCAACTGTAACCATTTAATCACCCAGTCTCCCGCTAGAATAAGTTTACCAAATCTTTTGTTTTTTTTTTTAAAGCACAGAGCTCTCAGAGCTTGTCCCCTGGGAGGGAACCAGCGTAGGAGCTGATACAATTACCTCAATAAATCTGCCAGGAGCCAGATGCATCTTTATGACAAACATAATCGGGATCCAAATAACGGAGCAGGCAAGCATGAGCCAACCGAGCACCATGGACCAGCTCGGGTACCGGTAAGAGCCGTAGGTCATGGGCTCCCACTGGTAGAAGCTGAAGCAGAGGATAAACTGGGAAGAAAAGAGAAACACACATGTTAGGGTGGGGACGTGAGTACACCCTCAACAGTCACGTGTCAGACCCCTGCTGTGAGCTGGCTGCTTTCATATCTATTAGCTCGTTTCCCCCCATGATGATCCTGTAAAGGAAGTATTATTACTACATTTTCCAAATGAAAGAACTGGATTTCAAAGATGAACTGACACACACCGAGGTGCTGAAGCTGTACTTGTCATCGCATAAAAACTCAGCAATGCACGTGGGTGTCTATACACTCAGAGGGGCTGAGAGGACAGATTTCAAGGATGTACACCAGGGTGACTGAGGGGTGGAGGTGGCAGAGGGGATGGTGAGTGTTTTCAAGGGGCTGTCTCTGCTTGCTATAACTGATGATCCAGCCTGAGTGATAAGGGGAAAATCCACTAGGTTAATGTGGAAAACGAATTGCATCTACTCTGCTTTCACCTTGAATGGGGAAAGGACCATCTCCAGGAGCTGCCTCTGAAGCTGGCTAAGTGGTCCCCGAGCAGTGGCTGAGCAGGAAGTCTGGTTCTATAATCAGCAGTGGGACAAAGAGAAGGGCGGCCCCGCCCCCCTCAAAAGACACGAGGTGGACGGGCCACCAAACGGCGAGCTGGGGACAGGCTCATCTCAGCTCTACCGCTAACTAGCTGAGGGACCCGTATGTTTCTATGTCCCAGACTTTTCTGCTTTAAAACAGATCCATTTCACACCCGGTGGACAACACGGGGCTTCTCTGGAAACAACAGTCTGCTATTTACTCAGGGGACCCTCTCCCTTTTCTGTTGTTGCTTTTTTCAAAAATTGTTTATTTGGCTGAGCTGGGTCCTAGCTGTGTCTCATGAGATCTTTAGCTGCAGCAAGTGAATTCTGAGTTGCAGCATATGGGATCTAGTTCCCGGACCAGGGATCAAACCCAGGCCCCCTTCATTAGGAGCATGGAGTCTGAGCCACTAGACCACCAGGGAAGCGCCGCCCCCTTCACTTTTAAGAGAGGTCATGATTCATTTTCAGCCCTTGATGCCCCCTCACCATGCACTTTGGCAGACAACAGTGATGAGAAACCTCTGAAAACGGTTAGTGCAGCTGCAAAGAAACAGATATGTTGGGAAAAGGAGGCACAAGAAAAGATAGAAGAGGGGTCCTAATGGCTGTGTTGGGGGAGGGAGCACTACCCTCAGGAAGTGGAGTTCTCCCCTGTTTTCAACCCACCTATGGCAGCCTCTGCCTAGAACAATGTATCCACCTACTTCCTCCCTCCTCCTCACCTCTCTTGTTCTATCTTCAGCAGTAAAAGAATTGCCTGAAAATGATTGGAGGGAATTATGTCAGGAAAGATAATACATGGAAGTGTTTTGGAAAAGTGGGAAGCATTATACAAATGTAAGGCATCTTTATGATTGCTACAAAGCCCGAACTGCTGGGGTAAGTGATTATTCCAATGCAACAGTAATTCAATATATGGATTCAAAGCAACAAGAGCCTGAAGACAGTGGTTGAAAATACTGCTCCTATAAGAGATATATCGACTCTAGGTCCCCTTTAGAACATTTGCCCTAAGAGTTACAAGCTTTATTAACCAGTCTATTGGAAATAGGGCTTAATGTAATTATGGTAAGTTGCTCCATTTCATTTACTATATAAATAGCAATACATCTACTTATGTGTGCCTAAGTCAGTAACATGATCTGCCTATGTATACAATAATTGCATGCAGAATATTTATAGCTCTATAAATTAATGAAGGCACATATAAAAATGATCAATTTTATTTCAGGGGTTTTGAAGTCAATGAAGCCCATAATTTCAGCTCGGTCTAGTCTCCTACAAGATAGCTGTGTTACAGAAGGGCAAATGGCCAAAAAGGAATGGTTAGGCTTGGTCCTCTGACACCATTTCCTGTTACACAGGTATCACATCAAATTTATCTGTGTAAACTTGTTCTTGCCATCAATTTCACCATGCCAAATCAGCTTTGCTAAAACCCTGCTCTCAGATAAACCTGGCCATGAGAAAGGATAATTTAGCCATGGAGCCAGGTCCACCTGACATTCAGCTGATGGCAACAGAAGGTGATGCTGATGAGGGAACTGACTACTTCTTCCTGTCTCTAGCTCCTAAACGCAGAGGGAGGATTTGGCGGAAAATATTTTCTGGAACCTTTCCACAGGTTTTTGTGGAGAGTTTTATGATGGAAACTGAGTAATGCACAGCACAGTTGAGGCACTTTCTCAAGAAACGCAGCCAGTCCCCATTATCCCTTTTCTCTGAGATTCTGCTCCTAAAGAAGACTGGGATGATTTTAATCCAGAATTGGGCACACTCCACTTGGAGATGAAAGCAACTAGGCTTTTAGAAATGTATTAGAAGTGTGTTTAGACAGATATTATCTTGAAGCCTAGATAGCCTTGAATTCGAGTCTTATTCTACCCCCTGCAAGCTCTGTGGCCTCAGGCAAGCTCCTCAGCCTCTCCAAGCCTCAGCACACACATCTGTAAAGTGACGGGAGAATCACCCAGCAAGCAGGGTGGTCAGCAGCTTAAAAGACAATGTTCCTAAAGAGGCTGCCTGATGCTAGACCCCACAAGTCGTCACGTTGATTATCACTGTGTGATACATTTCTGCAGAATACAGCAAGATTCTTTGAAGCTTAATCTGTTCTAAGACGGGAGGCAAAGGTCAAAAGAATCTGGGACAGATTCTAACTTTGATTTCACCCAAGAATAAAACGTGTGTAGTAGTAACAGGAGAACCTGGCGAAGCTCAGCAAAGTAGGGAAAACAGCAGAGGCAGACAGGCGAGAGGGTGGGGGTGTCTCCTGTTCTCCTCTCGGCAGATGGCTAAACCCATCAGTCCTGAATTCAAGAAACTGCAAAATCTGCCTTAATCTTTTTCAGCTCTCCTGTCCCCAGCCTGGTGGGACTTTTCAGACAAATTGCAGCCTCTGATAGGTGATATCAGATACAGATACAGACGTAAACACAGATGTGGCTTCTATATGCCGTCTCCGGTCAATGCCGAGGGAGGGAAATACTGAATGTTTTTTCTGTCTAAACTTCTTTTTCAGAAAGAAATTGAGATGTTTTGATTAAAACTCACTCTGTGACAGTTTTTAGGGTGTTTTTTGGTTTTTGGTTTTGTTTTAAGGAAAATATCTGTTTGCTTTACTATTTCACGGCTATGTGCGGTTAAAGCAGCTGTTACGGTGCAGCGAAAACAAAGGTCTTAATCTGGTTTCTAGTGCCACCTGCTGGGCTCAGCAGGAACTACAGCCAGCTTCCTGCAGCCTTTGTCCACAAGCCAGGGAGGAAGCAAGACAAGGTCTCTTGTCAATTACTGTGCTTGGGGAGTGGATGGAGGCAAAGCCAGAAGCTCAGCCACAATAAAGGAGCAGGTGACAGGACGTGCATCTGAGTCCACATGCAGATTTACTGGTACACGAAGGGCTCTGATCTTTAAGAAGATGAATGTCAGATGATCTCAAAATGTCATCATCACACTTGAGGATGATAAGATAGTCCTCAAAAGCAATAAAAATGAACAATAAAAGTCTAACTTCTGCTATATATATTAGTTGTATAGTGGCTGTGTTAAGCAGTGTTTAAGAGTTCTAGAGACAGACTGCCTGGGTTGAAAACCAGGCTGATGTTACAATGAATAGTTCTACAATATCAGTTTCCTCCTCTGTAAAATGGAGATGATGAACTCCTGTAGGGGAGAGATGAGATGGTACATAAAAAGCACTGTGTTCAAAGGGTGTACCGTGGTTAGCATGTGGGAGCTGGGATCACATGAGGCAGACCGATACAATGGGGAAATGCTCCCTAGGGATGCTCCGAGCCAAGCATGAGTCCTAGCTCTGCCCCCACCCCTCCATCAGCCTGGCGCCTTTGGGCAAGGTGCTTCACGTCTTTGAGTTTCAGTTTCCTCAGCTGAAAGACAGGAATAATATCCATCCTACCAGCCCCCCAGGCTCATCTGTATGTAGGCACACGTCTTGTTCAACATAAAGCATCGCATATGTATGCAAGGTGCCACCGGCATGATAAAGCATGCAGTCCTTACAGTTAAAATGGTTGGAGTCACAAAGGCCCAGCAGACTTTCCAGAAAATGTTTGGCTGGAATCCAATCATCATCTCGATATCTTCACAGAACCTTTGCAAGCCTGCAAAGAGACAAACGCAGATGGAGCATGAGGGGTGGTAGCGGGGGTGAGATGCAGCCGTGGACAGCAGGAGCGCCCCTCACTCGCCTGTCACTGGCTGGGATGGCCCCCTCTTGCTGTCAACATGACCCCTGTTATGTAGGAAACCATCAGACAGATGACTCACTGCTGGGAAGATGAAGGCAAATGGAATGTTTAAATAGATAGCAAACACGCTCTGCAGTGAAGTTCAACGTGAGATGTCATCCCACGGTCCCAGCTAGAAAGCTCCATCCCAGCCTAACCCAGGCATCTCCACGTTGCCACAGGCTGACACAGTCACCTGTGTGGCTGTTTTCACAGGAGGGCTCATGGGTTCAGCAACCAACTCTGGCAAACCCGATTATGATCGTGATCAAGAAGCACAGTGTATTATGAAAGCCTTGGGATTTCAAGGGAGACTCACTGTATGTTGCTTTTTATCCCCCATCCTCCCAAGGATGGGTTTCCCTGGTGGCTCAGCTGGTAAAGAATCCGCCCACAAGGTGGGTAACCTGGGTTTATCCCTGGGTTGGGAAGATCCCCTGTAGAAGGGAATGGCTACCCACTCCAGTATTCTGACCTGGAAAATTCCCTGGACTATACAGTCCATGGGATCACAAAGAGTCAGACACAACGGAGGGACTTTCACTCACTCCCAAGGATACTCTTCCATGAGTCAATTTATCTCTGCTCCATGGAAGATGATAAGGGCAGGCAGGAACCAATGTGACTTCCACGTGGCTATCACCCACTTTGTTGGAACTCAAAGGATTGTGGTCTTCTTGGTCGCTGATCAACATAACTATGTAAAGTAAAAAGCAGATGAGAGTTTTTCTCAGGGGCCCGAATAACCAGCATCCACTCTTTGAAAGCAAAAGCCACAGAGAATGTTTGAGGAAGAAGCAATTTCTTGTATTGTTTCCTGAGCTCATCAGAGGTGAGGGTTTCTCAGAACTGGGGGGTTGCCATGCTGAAAAGACATGAAAGGGCCCTGAGTTTGAGCCCCTTCATAGACGGCAGTTCTGACTGGTCGTCCCAAATAATGGGCCACCACAAGCAAGAACTGCACACTTTAAGAAGCTATGTGACCATCTTCGGGTTTGCTTGTGTCTCATTTCCCATCCTCAAACTCCTTCAATGACTGGCCTCTCGGCACTAGACCCTCTGGATGTAAGTGAGGGTTAGAACCAAAAAAGAGATGAAAGTTAAAGATGAGGACCTCAGATAAACCTATTTGCAGGGCAGCAATAGAGACGCAGACACAGAGAACAGGCTTGTGGACACACTGGGGCGGGATGAATGGAGAGAGCAGCGCTGAAACACACATGTCGCCATGTGTAAAACAGTGGGAATTCACTGCACCACAGGGAGCTCACTCTGGTGCTCTGGAGCAGTCTAGAGGGGTGGGATGGGGCGGGGGTGGGAGGGTCGGGACATAGTATCCCTATTCCTGATTCACGTCGCTCTATGGCAGAAACCAACACGACACTGTACAGCAATTATCCTCCAATTAAAAATAATTTTTAAAAAATGAGGACCTCAGAAACCCACATGAAACCCTGAAAGTGGGACTCAGTTCTTCAAAAAGGAAAAGATTCTAAAATCTTCTGTTTTCAGTGTCAGTCCTGTTACCCTTCCTCTCCATTAAACCATTCTGCAAGGAGACAGTGGTGTGCAGCTTGCCTAGGGAAATTGATGTGACAGAATTCAAGGTTAGGCTGAGGAAGACACACAGAGGCAACCTCCTATGGGAGGCAGGGGTAGAAGGAGAAGTGCTCAGGTTCCCCCAGACGGGACAGGGAGCTGGGGCCAGACTGCAGGAGGGAGTGGATGGCGGGTGCCCAGTTTCAGCAGGAGGCAGTTTGATGCCTAGGAGCAGCCCCAGAGCTGAGCGAGATGACTTGGGTTCCAGAGTTAATAAAATCCCTGGAAAGTCAGCTTCCTCCCTTCCCGTGCAGGCTTTCGACGCCTGCTGCAACAGTCTCCAGTCCTGTGATGGATCGGCCTGATCTGCCAGCGTGGCCCGGCAGATGCTGCCCAAGGGCACCAGTGGGAGCCGCCAGGCAAGCCTCCCGCCTCTTACTCATCCCTGAGCCAGGCTCTCCAATCCGTCCATCCCCTACCCGCTCTGGCCCGCACCCAGCGCAGACCGCCCGCACCCTGAACTCATGCCCAAGCCCCCACCAGAGTCCCGTACTGCGCCAGTGGCCAGGCCTTTGTTCACACGGCTTCCTCTGCCTGCTCTATCCTCCCCACTTGTCCAAGTCCCTCTTCAAGGCTAACGCTAGACAGAGGAATCGATCTGGGAGCCAGGAGCTTGTGCATGGAGATCTGCCCGCTGCATGACCTTGAACCTGGAGGGGTAAGAGAGCTGCGAAAGGGGTCAGAGCAACAGCTTCTCCCTGAGCTAGCAGAAAAACAGCAGGAAAGAAAAACAGTGGTGAGCTCATAGCTACTGTTTTAGACTCAGACCCGCTGACCCGGTGCCCAGAAAGGGGCCTACCACAAGCCCCATATAACCAACCAATCCTGAACTGAAGGTCAAGGACCTGCCTCAACCAACCAATCACTTTCGCCCGTGCAACTTTGTGGCCCTTGTCTTCATGAATCACACCCTCGCCTTTGGTCTGAGTATGGTCTTCCAGGGACTGCTCTCCCCACTGTGTGGCCAGGGCCAGCCTCCTGGCCTATGAGCCAAGCACCTGTCCAGGGCCTGGGGCTGAGAAGGGTGCCACCCCTGGATTAATGGTCTCCTGTCGTCAGCTTGAACAGTTTTTAACATGGGGTTCCAGATTTCCATCTTGCCCTCAGTCTCACAAACTAGGTTTCCAGCCCTGTGGGTACCTCCAATTATTCTCTGACAGTTAATGTGATGTTTTGGCTGCACCCCTTGGAGCCAAAATCCTATGTGCGGGCTTAGATTTTCCCTGCCTCGGTTAGCAATAAGCTCAGTACTAAGCCTCAGTCCTTGTTTTCTTTTATGCCCTTTTATTTCTGAAATGCCACCTTCTCGAGTGCTTTTCTGGTTAGTCTGGCCCTCCTTTATCTCTGGGCAGCCTGAGGGTTCCCAGCCAGGTAACAGTCATTGCCTGCTGGAACTCCAACATCCCTCACAAGGATGGAGAGGAAGACGGTCCTGCGGGATGTAAAACAAGTCACGGACCAACGTGGAGGAAAATAGACCGAGACAACGGAGCACACTGTGATTTGCGGGAAACGCAGTGTGGAGCCAAGCAGGCCAAGCAGGTTGTCAGGCACGAGGACTCTGTGACCGCAGGTTAATGCCACGGCTTCCCCATCAAGAAAGTCCCTGCATTGGCTCTCAGGGAAGTACAAATCACTTTTACAAAGCGACTCTGTTAGGTAAAGTCTGTTAAAGGGATTGTTCCTACACCAAACTTGAGGAGTTCCACTTTTCTAGCTACCTCATATCCAGATATTGGCCTTTGAAGAGCATTGCCTTGAGAGCCTAAATCAGCCCTTTTGATCTAAAGATAAAACTTGAAAATTGTACCCAAAGTATTTTAAATGTTTGAATGGCAACCTCTAGAATATCTAGACTCTAGAGACCATTAGAACCGGGAAGAAAACACAAATCTCTGCAATGTGTCTGTTTCTTTTTCAGATTCAGCAGCCAGGATGGAAGAGGATCAAATCAGTCAGGTTCATTTCCTTTCTTCATGGGTTCATGTTCAACTTCCTTACACTAACCTGCGTTTGTTTGGGGGCTCATTATCTCAATAAAGAATCCACTGTCATCTGGAGCATATGTTATATATTTGTACAGGCTTTTCCTTTCACCTCTAACAGTGACATTAACTTCAAATAGTTTTTCTAAGATTCCCGTCTTAGAATTCCCTCCAGGTCCAAAATCAGAGGGTCACACCCACATCTGACAATACAGGAGTCAAGTTCAACCTGAGCTTAGCACAGGGTCCACCTCGTCCTGGGAGCTGGCCGAGCACCAGCCTTCTAGAGTCCAGGTAATTGCCTGGGTGGTCCCCCTGGGAAGATCAGCAGAGACCAGGGAAAAAGCACTCGGGATTTACTTTTTCCTTCAGAACCAAAAAATCTACCGCCAAATTTATATGAGGGCTGGGAGAGAGATATTTAAGTCCTAAAAACAGAAATGTTAAAAAGGTTTCTGTTTTAATGGATGCTTGTAAACCACACTTAACAACCCTGTTTTATTGGAAAGAATCACGCAAATTTGCCTTTTGTGGGCAATAGCGGGGCGGCTACAGGTCAGAGGAGGTCAGTGAGATGGCAACCTACACTTGGGCCGGTGCCGCAATGAAGCGCCTTCCTGACTTTGCCAACAGACCATCTGGCGACTTCAGCTTATGTGTGGACCCACAAGGGCTGAGTTTCCCAGAAGAGAGCCCCAGAGGCCTCTCCACAGTAAAGCCTTTGGTATCTAGGCAAAAAGTTAGGATTCACTGTGGCAGACTGGCCGGGTTTCAGCCACTCTCTGCTCAGGTAGGAAGCTCTTTGAAGCCTTACCCTAAACGCGAGTCTTCAATCACAGCCGTCACCGCAGGCTTGAGGCTGTCTCATCGGCTCAAAGTGCTGGCAGTTTGGCCTCTGATGCCATCAAGACAGCTGGCATGCCTGCCTGCTTCTCTGGCCAGAAACTAAACTCTCTCTGCAGTGGGGATGTAAACTCCAGCTGAGATAAATTCTTCTGCCAATGCCCAACAATGATTGCAGTGTCTTCCTGTTTCTGGGGCACCCAGTTTTTACTTGAGAGCTTTCCTTTTTATATCTTGACTGCCCATCACCCTCCATTTTAATGGATTTTTCAGTAAAGTGAGAAGCTGCTGAAGCCCTGATGGGCAAGAGGCTAACGATTACATTAAAGGCAAAAGACTCTTAAGCACATCCCTGCATCCAAGTGATACCTGCCTTTCCTTTCACCATCTCTTTTTGGTTTTGAAATACAGATGGGTCTCCTGACTTGGCATTTTTCACCTTTCTGGTATTTACTATAGAGGCCTTATCTATATTTTAGGGATGGTTCTGAGACTGTGAGGCACAAGGATGTCAGCACCACCTTGACCCCAATAGCTGACTGGTGGTACACATGAGGGGCTCAAGAGGTCACCCGGTGAGACTCAACCCCACCCCCCAGCCAAGGACAAACACCTCTCCAGGAAGGGCAAAGATGGCATCTGCTGATTTTTCCTGTTCTTCTTGAGAATGGCCCCACCGATTATAGGATGCTCGTTGCTATGGTGATGATAGGAAGGGTTAATTTATAAGGGAATTGGAAGTTTCTTCCTGAGAAAGTCAGGGGTTGAGATCTTGCATCACAGGCCCCCATGATGCTAATAAAGTGTCCTAAGGATCTATGATGGGGCTTCCCTTGTGGCTCAGATGGTAAAGAATCTGCCTGTAATGTGGGAGACCCAGGTTCAGTTCCTGGGTCAGGAAGATCCCCTGGAGAAGGAAATGGCAATCTGAATCTGCTCCAGTATTCTTACCTGGAAAATTCCATGGAGAGAGGAACCTGGCGGGCTACAGTCCATGGGGTTGCAAAGAGTCGGACACGACTGAGCAACTAACATACCCACATACAAGGATTTTTGAGGTTCTCTTTACTCATTTAGTATCAGGAGACCCCCCTGAAGCTACTCCTCACCTCAAGCTGCATGAAGACTACAGCTACCAAGACCCTGAAATACGTTCATAGGAGCAAAGCAGTCTCCCTCCTCCCCCCTAGTCCGGCCACCGTCCACAGGCATTAACCGTTCTTTGTCAAGGGCACACCCCAGTCCTAGCAGTTTCTGCTAACAAAGTTTCACCATAGGTCATCTTTTGTTTCTCTGTTACATCTAGATTCGACTGGTTGAGGCAAGTTTGGAAATAAAGGTGCAGCTCTGTTTCCTAAATAGCTGCAATTAAGCCTTTGCCTTGGCTTCTTAAATATGAGAAACCTGCCTGCCACGGATGCCCCAGCGACACTCAGTTTGGCCTCGGCATCCATCTCAGGGGTTCCCTTACCGTACACATAGGAGATCCCCACGAGCTCAAAGATGGCGATGATGACGAGGGCATAGGAGGCGGCGTACGTGTCCACAAGCTGAAACATGTAAATTCCACCCTGGCAGGGAAGAGAGACAAGCAACGTCAGGGGGCCTGGCTCCAGGCTGCGTCCCACTTCCAGCAGCCATCCGTCCAGCCCGAGCAGGGTCACGTGCCAACAGCAGCTGAAGGATCCCCTCTTCCCCTGGAGAGGAGCAACTTAACTCTGGTCCAGTAGGTAAGCCAGAGGCCTTGCTGTGTTAGCAAAGCAGTCCCTCGAGAGACTCCAAGCTCATCAACAGCACAAGCCCAGAAAAGTGATCTAACATCTTACTCTTAAAAGGCAAAGGTCAACATTTGAAGATGTAACTGTGAAAGTAGCCAGATTGCATTGTTTTTGCTTTAAGCAGCAGATGGCCGTTTCTACCCATACACCTGCATGTGACCAATCTCCATAAGACCTTCAGGTGTCAATGGGCAGTCCTCACACGTCTGTCAGTGGACAGTCCTCATACATCCCCCTGCATCTTTACCTCACTCTTAGATGAGGCTTAGAGACCATCTCCTTTCAATCCATCATTTTACAGATGAAGAAACCAAGGCCCCACGCGGTGACTTGCTCAAGGTCCAAGAGACAGCAAAAGCAATATACATATACATCAGGTGAGCAAATATTCATCTTACCAGACACTCAGGACCAAAAGAAACTCCAGTGACCATAGATCTTGTATATTACAGGTAATCAAGTGGAAATTTCCCTGGTTGGTAAAGTTGGATTTCCATGTATTTCATTTTCTTAAAGTAGGACACACCTGTCTCGTTGGCTCAAGAAGGCTACATCTCAATTATGAAGATGCTGGAAGTATCATTAGTAGCCAAAGTGACATATTTCCCTCTGCGGTCAGAGTCTCTAACTAACTGGTGCCATCTACTTGGAAATGGCAATGGTTTGGCTGTTATTCTAAGGTCTGGGAGTTAAGAGTAAAAAGACGGAAAAGCCATCAGCCCCACCCCCAACCTGCCCCCATCCTAAGCCTGTGTGCGGCAGGTGTCTTACCTGGGTGATCATTGGGAAGCCCATGATGAAGAAGGAAACACAACAGCCCAAGGTAAAGACCGGTTTGTGTGTGCGCAGGTACTTGGGGAACTCGTCCGAGATGGATGTCACTATGGTCTCGATGGTGGCAAACTGGAATGATGCCGGAGAAGGGACACCTGAGGCACTGCCCAACCCCAAAGGCTCAGAAAAAGCCCTTGTGTTTCCCACCAGGCCAAGTGGTATTTATATGAGGATTGGTTTTGGGGGTTACTTTCCCTTGATGAGTCTAAAGGATCTTGCTGGGGTCCCACCCACAAGGTCAGCAAGGGGAATCTAAGCAGGATGTGAACCTTAGATCTGTGTCTCCAGCCCCCAGAGACTGCACTCACATCCATCCACTACGACACTTTAAGCTTCACTTTGTATTCATGAGATGCAAATTCCTCTCCTCCCGTTTACATCGCATTTGATCTTCCACTTGAGGAAAAAACCCTCCTTGCACCCAACTACTAAACTCTGAGCACCTGTCAGCATGATTTGTAGTAGTCTCAGCCCCAGAGCAATTTCCCTAAAATTGACTTCACATTATTCTCCCTTATCAGGCCCCACAGAACTTGCTTTGGCAAAAGGACACCCAAGCAGGAAGAACACGGGTAAAACTTGCATGGAGAAAGGAAAGAGGGAGAGCGCACAGCTCCTCTGCACCATCACCTGAGTCACCCACAAATGCAAGGTTATCCTGAGCCTTGGACAGGTACCTCACTGTCACTACACATCACTTCAGCAAACACTGAGATAATGCTAAGCCCAAACCCTGCCATGTGCTGGATGATAGAGCCCCAGAAGAGGGGTCTTCAGAAGGAGGACTGGGGTAGAGGTCAAAAGGGCACACTCACCATAGTGTCAAGTCCAAGAGTGAGGAGCATCAGGAAAAAGATGATGGCCCAGAAGGGAGAGAGGGGCAGCCTGGTTAAGGCCTCTGGGTAAACCACGAATGCAATACCTGGCCCTGGAAAGAACAAGACAGATGACTGCAGGCAGGTCCAGCTCCAAGACCCCTCTTCCTGGAAGCCCACAGGGTCCTCTCTCCATGGCAGTGCTGAGTCATTTACAACAGAAGCTGCTCCTTCTGTGTCCCATGTTTTTACTCCTCTTCATCCATTTCCCCAATTAGACCTCAAACTCCTTGAAGAGAAGGACCGGGGGAATTAGGTCCATATCTCAAGAAACCCACAGGAGAGGCTCAAAAAGAGGGGCAGAGCAGAGACTCAACGCCAACCCAACACTGCAGCCAGGCTGGTTCCCATGCAAATAAACACAAAAACCTCCATGTCTATATTAATGGGTCGAGGAACGATGTAATATTACCCTCTAAAACAGTGGAGATTTTGCTCCCCAGAGCATATATGGCAATGTCTAGAAACATATTTTATTCTCATAACCAGGATGTCTTGGGGGATGATTACTGGGGTCTAGTGTATAGAGGCCAGATGCTGCTGAATATCCTTCAATGCACACCCCCCCCCCACAGCAAAGATTATTTTTTTTCCCATTTTTATTAGTTGGAGGCTAATTACTTTACAATATTGTAGTGGTTTTTGCCACACATTGACATGAATCAGCCATGGATTTACATGTGTTCCCCATCCCGATCCCCCCTCCCACCTCCCTCCCCACCCCATCCATCTGGGTCTTCCCAGTGCACCAGCCCCGAGCACTTGACTCATGCATCCAACCTGGGCTGGTGATCTGTTTCACCCTTGATACTATACGTGTTTCGATGCTGTTCTCTCAAGACATCCCACCCTCGCCTTCTCCCACAGAGTCCAAAAGTCTGTTCTGTACATCTGTGTCTCTTTTTCTGTTTTGCATATAGGGTTATCATTACCATCTTTCTAAATTCCATATATATGCGTTAGTATACTGTATTGGTCTTTATCTTTCTGGCTTACTTCACTCTGTAAAATGGGCTCCAGTTTCATCCATCTCATTAGAACTGATTCAAATGAATTCTTTTTAATGGCTGAGTAATATTCCATGGTGTATATGTACCACAGTTTCTTTATCCATTCGTCTGCTGATGGGCATCTAGGTTGCTTCCATGTCCTGGCTATTATAAAGAGTGCTGCGATGAACATTGGGGTGCACGTGTCTCTTTCAGATCTGGTTTCCTCAGAGTGTATGCCCAGCAGTGGGATCACAGCAAAGATTTATCCAACCCAAAGGTCAAGCGTGCTGAGATTCAGAAATCCTGCTATCAGGGTTAAACATTCCCAGAATGACATCATTTCCCCCTTTTGCTACCCTTCTTTTTAGTCACTCCTCCAGGAAAAACCTTTTACATAAAACATGAATCAGTCTAATGCTTTTAGGATCTTGCCCTACAAAGGCTTGGTAAACATGGGACTGTATCAGTCCACAGGAATTAGGTGGGGATGAGGGAAACACAAGGGTTAAGAGAGTCTGGGCTCTAGTGGTTAGACCATTCAGGGTCCAAATTCAGAGTCCACGACTTGCTAACTGTGCAACCCTAGAGAAGTTAGTTTATTTCTATAAGCCTCAATCTTGCCTCTCTGTAAAATGGGGATAACAATAGTTCTTCATAATAGGACAGTCATGATGAACAAATGAGGAGATGCAGGTAAAGCACTGAGACCAGTGCCTCACACATCATCAACACTCACAGAATATTGCTCTTCTTAGGAGCAGACAAGGAACTTGGAAATTAGCAGCTCTGATCTGAGTTTTCCTCAAGAATATCATGTGTGGTCTTGATAGAGGATGTCTGAGCCATGTTTTTCTCTGCTAACATAAAACCCTGCCAGCCGTTCCTACCTGCCTCATGGCCTCACTGGGAAGACGGTTAAAGACCCTGCAGTTGTGAACTTCCCTGTAAGTATAAGCCTACATGATAATGGGCAGAGATCAGGGAATGTTGGCGTAATCCACAGCCAGGGCACGTCTGGAAGCCAGAAATCGCAGCACCTGGAGTTTTTATAACTCAGTCATAACAGCCCTTTTTTCAAACTGGAATTTATCAGGTTGTTAGCTCCTAATGTTGCCTAGGGCTTTGGGTATTTAAAATATAAAGCCTGGAATGCCTAAGATACCCTCACTTGATGCATTTATTGAACAGACGGTAGAAACAGCCTCTGAAGGCTCCCTGAGTGAACCATAAAAGAAAACTCAGTATTAAACTGCAGTTCAAAATTGGTCTCAAACGCAGCACACGGAGGAAGCCAGTTCAGTGCCCTGAACACCGAGGAAGCCAGTTCAGTTTAGGCTCATAAAGCGGACAAGAAGGTCTTAAAATGGCCACTGCCGGAGGACCTCGGCTGACTGCCTTAACAGGATTCCGGGCACTTGGACGTCACTGCTTTTTCAGGGTGGAGAAGGATTTCCAAATATCGGGCCTGTTTCTATTTCGGTGGCCTCCCTACAAGATACAGGGTAAAGGCATCATGTTCAGAAAACTCCGTTTATCCAAGATGGCCGAGTGGATTTTTTAAATACAGGTTTATAATATTTTGTAGAGTCCGGGAGAAGGGACTGCCCGAGCCACGGCGGAGCTTTCCCCGGGCGAGGCTGGTGTCTCTGACAGAAGCTGCGTCCTGCCGCTTTCAGCAAAGCCCAGGAGCTGGAGAGCAGTCTCCACTGCCCCGGGGACCAGGAGACTCACTCTGCCTCTTACTAGCTGCAGGACTGTAGATAAGGCTTGGGGAAGACTCCGGACACACCTCAGTTTCCTTATCCATGCAGTGGGGATTATAATAGTGCCTACCCTCAGGGATAGGGCTTCCCTGTGGCTCAGCTGGTAAGGAATCCGCCTGCAATGTGGGAGACCCGGGTTCGATCCCTGGGTGGGGAAGATCCCCTGGAGAAGGGAACGGCTACCCACTGCAGTATTCTGGCCTGGAGAATTCCATGGACTGTATAGTCCATGGGGTCGCAAAGAGTCAGATGCGACTGAGCCCTTCACTCACCCTCAGGGAATCTCTGTGATCCTAGTGATACCAGTGAAGGGCTCAGAACAATGCCTGGCTGTGGAGAGAACTCGGTAAGCACAGACCATTATTGCTCTCCCCATGAGAGGGGCCCGAAGGGGCTCGGCAGGCCAGCTCCTCGGGCAGGGCCCCCAGAGACCTATAGCGACAGCCTCCTTGGGCCTAGAGAGCCGCTGCAGACAGGACCAGGGGCTCTGGAGCCAGCACGGCCCACAGCCCACGGGGACGGCTCACTCTGCAGGTTACCTGCTACACGTGCACCCGTTCTCAGAAGGGGCAGCGCTGAACCCTGCGCCTTTGGAAGCACTGGCTTCCCGGGGACAGACAGATGGTGGGACGGTCCCTTCATCTCGATCAGCAGGGTCTCTGTACTGTCAGGGGGCGAGGGAGCCAGGGTGGCACTTCCTAGTGGCCTGGTTACCTGGGAGTTACCCCGTAGGCCCTGGAAATCTACATGCACCTCAGTGTTCCCCTGCTGTGGTCTAACCCAGTCCTGCTGCAGGCGGGTAAGCATCTTGGTCGGATTCTGACAGTGAGTCAGCACTCCCCAGATAGCCGTGAAGATGGCTGGGAGATGCCTCTAACAGGCTGACTTCCCAGAAAGCTGCTTTTCTGAGGTCGATGCCTGAGAAGACCATGCCCCTTCCCTGTGCCCACTGTAAGAGCAGGAGACGGCTGGTCTCATACCAGTCCCACCCTCAGTCACCCTCAGTCTGATGCAGCCAAGATCTGAGGTGGTGACTTTGCGCCTCTCTTAAAAGGGAGCTCTAAACAAAATGTACTACTGTTAGGTCATTAAAGAGAACCAGCTTTGGACTAAACATCAAAACACAGTTACTAATGCCGGATCAGCACAAATGAACTGAATGTTCACGTGCCAATGTCACCTAGCAAGGAGGGCATGGGGCTGGCACCTAAAACGGGCCTGATCCCAAACCTCTGTCCTGTATTCTGCAGGGCCTCCATTATGCCAGGGGAAGTCAGACAAGCCTTCAAATCACTTACAAGAAGGTATGCGAATTCCAATGAGCAGGGTTAGCTGCCCGTGTGTCTGGGAGAAGACTTCAAGGGCCCCTGCCTCTCCCCAGTGGGGGTAAGACCCACTTCTCCGTGCTGATGACAATGGGAAACTACCAAGTACAGATGTCCCTTGAGCATCACAGGTTTGAACTGCCAGCCTCCGTGCACGCGTGGATTTTTCTCAGTGATAAATACAATACAAGACAGTCCACAGTTGGGCAAATCCATGGATGCAAAGGAATCTCCGATTCAGAGGAACTGTATCTACAAAGGGCTGACTAATCAATTATAGCTTGGATTTTTGACTACTTGGAGGTTTGGCACCTTTAACCCCCTGTATCTGCGATCTGCGTTGTTCAAGGGTCCACTGTATGAACACAACATATTAGAATCCATGAGAAGAGCTCCTCTCCCTGTTAGAGGAAATGAAAAAAATCTAGAAAGGGAAAATTCTAGAGGGAAACCCGGACCATTTGTTTGACGCTTTGTACATAAAGGAAAAACAAAATGTGATTTGGGCTTTAGCAACGAGTGCCCGCACATCCCTTTCCTGGGGTGGGAAAGTGCTTGGAAGAGTAAACAAACACAGCCACATCTCAGCAATCACTATCGCTAGCCACTCAGCCACTGGCTCACAGCTCAGTAATGTCTCAAGAACAACGAAACACCTTAGACCTGCCAGAAAGTGGGGTAGGACCCAGCTGCTCCAGGTACCCTGCTGGGAGGAAATAAGGACAGCTGGGTGTCGCAGGCACCCTGAAGACAAAGGCTTCGCTTCTCTCCCCTCCCCTGTACCTCCCACCCCTGCTCCCTCCCCCCTCCCCAGGAGTTTTAAACTCTTCAACCAGGGAAGGGCATTGGCTCAGCTCTGGGACGTCTAATTTAGCGCACTGCTGCAGGACCAAAATCCCTGGGGGTCCAACACTCTCTCCAGGGAGAAATAACTAGCCTCCATTCCCCAGGAACAAGCTGGTTCTTTAACTCTCCGAGGCCCGCAGTGCGCTATCAGCCCACTGAAGCGTTAACTACGGATCCGCAGGGAGACAGCAGCCCACCAAGGAGGTGACATCGCTAAGGCTCCGTTCTCTCCTGTGCTGACGTCTGAGCCATTATCTGAGGTCTGCAGTGAGCTCCTTGAAGAAAGACAACTGCACAGAGAAGCCACGAGACAGGCCCACAGTCTGGACGGTCTAGAGCCCACAGACAGTCCTGTCCCCTCAGCCCCGGCCACAGCCTCAGCCACGGTCCCGACCCTGAGGCATCTCCTAAACGCCTGATTAGAGGGTGACCCTGATGACAGACGATGCCACAATGAAACCCCTTTGTCACCGAAACCCGCTCAACACCCAAATCCTGCGCAGAATAAGGCTGGGTGGAAATTAAAAGTTCAATAAAAGTATTACATACTCTTTGCAAAATACTGTGCTAGAAATATGGGTCAAATGAGATTTTAAAATGACAGCCCTCTGTACACTCCAAAGAGACCACACAAGTGTGAGCCATTAACAGATGGATCACCTGGGCAGAGAGTAAACATTTATCCTACATCCCTCCCTCCACCACCATCCAGTCTTTCCACCCACTGGGGAAGACACTGCGGGTCTGCATTGCTAACTAAGCAGAAGGCCCTGAGAGCATGTCAGACCTTACAAGCTGTGCTTCGTCAGCAGAAGGCTGCTCTTATTAATAAGCATTGGCTCCGTGCCTACAGAGCCCTCGGCGAGGGATGCCACCCTGCGGCAGGCTGTGGCCACATCAGCTGCAGGAGCGCTGGTTGGCTTAGAGAATCCTCTACATATACCTAACAGGTAGAGACCTTACATAGGCTGGAGCTTAGCTAAAAGAGGAGAGGGACCAGGGACTTCCCTGGTGGCCGAGAGGTTAAGAATCAGCCTGGCAATGCAGGGGACATGGGTTCAATCCCTGGTTGGGGAACTAAGATCCCACACGCCATGGGTCCAATAAGTCTGCATGGTGCAATGAAGACCCTGCATACCACAACTGAGACCCGACATAGACAAATAAATAAATATCTTTTTAAAAAAGAGAGAAGGAGAGGGAAGCAGGAAAGGGCTTTTATAGCCACCCCTCTGGGTAAGGACCGGCCAGCTCTAACTCTGCAGGCGCTTCAGTTGTTCCGGGTCCCTCCACAAAGGGGGATCGAGGCTGCCCCTCTCCAGCCCGCCCCAGAAGGACAGCTTCCTAGCCCAGCAGCACAAGTCAGAAGCTCAGGATGCAAACGTGGAACCCAGCCCACAACAGCAGGGCGACAACCGAACAGTACCTTGGTCGGCCACGTTCTCGATGTTCACCTTGCGTTCGTTGGCCATGAAGCCGATGACTGAGAAGATGACAAAGCCGGCGAAGATGCTGGTGGCGCTGTTGGTGCAGGTGACAATCAGCGTGTCCCTGGGGGGAAGGGACCGGTCTGTCATCAGCTGTGCTTTGTACGGAGGAAGGGGCAGGGGAGGGACACACGAATGTGTTGGTGGGCACCTGTGCCTATGCCCATTTCTAAACAGGTGCTCGCTGTAGGCTGGTCTTGTTCTCTCTTATTTACAAGGAAACGAACAGCCTGACCACAGGCTCCCTTGGGCTGAGTGTATAAGCACCAGAACAAAGCTCTGCTATAGAAGCAGGTCTCCCCTCCTGGCAGTAGCACAGTAAGTCTGTCCATCAGAGCAGAAATTGAAGGGATGGGGGCCTTTTGCAGAGTCTGGGGCAGGAACCACATATGAGAGAAGGCAGTGGGACCACCCAGTTTCACCAGATCTTAGAACAGCCTGGGGTTCCTGCACACAGGCTTAGACGGGCAAGCCTGGACGGAGGAGAGAGGCCAGCAGCTCGGAGGCAGCGCCCTCTGCTGGCCATGCGGCTGCGGTTCCCACGCTGCCCTGTCCATCCTAGACCCCGAAGAAGGATCACAGCTAGATGGAGCCGTGGGGCCAAATTCCAGCCTAGAGGCATGACCGTGACTAAGTCACTTTCTTTCCACTCCTGTTTTAAATGGCGGCAATGACCCCACCTCGCTCACAGCTCGTGAGGACAGAACCAGATGAGGCCTGGGCCGCACAAAGCCTGGCAGGGAGCAAGGACTCGACACGACCTGCCTCGTTCAGCCCTTTGGTTTCAGGTCAGTCGCTCAGTCGTGTCCGACTCTCTGCAACCCCATGAATCGCAGCACGCCAGGCCTCCCTGTCCATCACCAACTCCCGGAGCTTGCTCAAACTCATGTCCATCCAGTCGGTGATGCCATCCAGCCATCTCACCTTCTGTCGTCCCCTTCTCCTCCTGCCCCCAACCCCTCCCAGCATCAGGGTCTTTTACCGATGGGGAAACTGAGGCCCAGGAGAAGGTAAGGGGCTCATTAACAGTAAGTTCCAATTGGAACCCAGTCTTCCTGCCCCTCAGCCACACCACACAGCCTCATTCCTAACACAACGCAGAGCCACGTCTCCCCCTTCGAGGGTTCAGGTTGATTTTCGTGGGTCATAAGTCAGTAAGCAGCTATGATCAAAGCAACTCAAACTCCTTAGCCTGGCATACCAGCTGTTACAGGCTGAACTGCGGGCCCCCAAAATGTGTATGTGGACGTCACTACCCCCAGCTTCTCAGAATGTGACTGTATTTGAAAACAGGGTCTTTAAATAGGTAATTAGGTTAAGAGGAAGTCATGGGGGTGGGCGCTAATCCAATATGACTGAGGCCCCAGTAAGCAGAGGAGATAAGGGTGCACAGTGGGCAGGAAGACCAGACGGAACTCAGGGAGAAGACGGCTGGCCACAAGCAAGCAGGGAGGCCTCAGAAGACGTCATCCTGTTGACGTCCTGATCTTGGACTTACGGCCTCCAGACGGTGGGGAAGTTAATTTCTGGTGTTTAGGTCACTCACTCTGCGCTATTTGTTACAGCAGCCCCCCGCAGACACACACAAAGGCTCTCTCCCAGCCAATTCTCAGGCCCCAATTCCTTCCCGCCCCCGTGAGCCCACTCCTGCTGCAGTGCCATCAGCCTGCTCCCCCGTATCTCCGTCACCCCCAGCCCCACTCAGCCCCCCCTGCAGACATGTCCTCCTCCCCTGCACCTGTTGAAACCTGGCCCACAGAGATGGCACTTGTGTGAGGCCATCCCAGCCAACCTAGGCTACAGCTTACATGTCATCCCTTCCTCTTGGCTCGCGAACGATCTCAGGCATGATTAAAAATAACAGTGATGGCTACTGCTTTTTACTGAGCTCCTACTGTGTGTAAAATATTGCCATGAGAATTTTGTATACGTCGTCTCTTACCCTCAACAAAATATTCTAATCTGCATTTTACAGATTAGAAAATGGGGATTCAGAGAAGTGAAGTTTCTTACCCATGTCTTGGAGTCTTAATAAATGGTGAAGTCATAAATGCAAGTCTATCTGACTCCAAGCTTCTTTCCTTTTTTTTTTTTAATCAGCCCCTCAAGAGAACAAACCTTATCTTCTTACTGTTTGTCTCAGACAGATTTAACTTTCAGATGTCACCTCCTCCAGGGGCTGTACAGACTCTCTCACATCTTTGGGGCTCCAGAGCCCCCTAATATCACCCTATCCAAGCGTCACCCTGCACCATCACCACCTGAAGATCCTGTCTGGAAATGTAGATTCCCAACACCCAACACCTCCTGATGTCTTGTTTCTTAAATCTGGGAGGGGACTCAACGTTTGCATAACTTTCGGTTTAACTGACAAAATTGTAATATATTTTAACATATTTAAAAGTATTTAATGTGATGATTTGATAAGCATATGCATGAAACAGGGGTCCCACTGTTGAGTTAATTAACAGCCACCATCATAGTACTTCTTCGACTGTCCCACGCTGCCTTTCTCACTGGGCTCACTAGAAAAATGTCTGTCAAGTGAACGCATGACCATACTTCATCAACAGCTACCATACAGCTGTCTCCATGGACTAGATAGCTCACAAATGACTATCCCAGGACATAGCCAGTGGAACAGCACCTCCAGAGAAACTCAGTTCCATCCTGGGGTCCAGCCCAGGCCACCAGCAGCCCACAGCTCAGCCTTCGCAGAGGATTTCCTCCACGCCAGATACAACTGTCTGGTCCTGTCTCAGGTGAAATGTGAGGATGTGGCCTCAGGCATGTGATAACTCAGCCCAAGGTCTGTCCCCAGGCCCTAGTCCCACTCACCAGCCACCTCTGGGGCTTGAAGTGCCTCTACATACCTGTAGCAATTGTTGTGGAATTTGTTGTAAGAAGAGAGAGTGATCAGGCCTCCCCATGCAGCAGATAAAGAGAAGAAAATCTGAGTGGCGGCGTCTTTCCACACCTGGGAGGCAAAAGAGGGGAAGATTCAAGGTCACTGAAGGAGGCTGGCCTGGGGGAGGGCAGGCTCCCAATGCCACATGGTCTGAGGCTTGGGAGGCGGGGAGGCAATCAGGACAGGATGACTTTGGCACCAATATAAATGGGAAACATACGCAGTCATTTGCACTGGAAACCAAAGAGGCAGTGACTGACCTAAGGAGAGGAACTCAGTAAGCAATGTACACATTTCATGCTGGCAAGCCCCACCATGTAAAACTATACAAAAAGGGAAAGCCCTTTCTTTAGCTAGAAAGCATCTCAAAATAAAAAAACAATTTGCAAAAGCAAAAATATTCATGGGTACAAAAGCAAAACTTTTTACAGCTGACATTCTCAGATTACAATTTACTAAAAATGTGAAATTCTGTAGCCCACCCCATCAAAGTAAAGCATGCTCTATTATCACCACACAATGGATTTTAGTGCCATCTCCTTCTTGAACCTGCCTGACAGCACCTCTTGGTTGTCTCAGCAATTTAATTGTCCTCATAAAACTCCAGAAGGCAACTCAAGAGTTTGAGCTAGAGATTTATATGATTTGATTATGACTTCCTATCATTTTTATAAGTTAAAATCTGGCTTTTAAGTTGTGTTTAACACATGCAAAGAAACAGTTCAGGTATGTGCTGGCAAAATCTGGGCCTACCCTAACCTCTATTGTCTCACACTCCTTGGTAACAAAGTTGTGGTTTCATTTAAAGGCAGCCATACATTCAGCCAATCAACCACCTCCCAGAATCAAGGGAAGACGCAGCTGAGAGGAGATCATATGACTTAATTTCTTGCCGATGATGAGAAAAATCAAGTGTTATATGGAACTTCCAGGCTTTCTCTCTTTTAAAGAGAGAGGGAAGGTGTTCTACCCCTTCCCTCACTACTTTGTGCTACCTGGAATGCTGACATGATGGCTGGAGCTCTGGCAGCTATATGGCAGCTATTCACTGAGGATGGTGGAGCAGAAAGGAGCCTGTGATACTATGGAGCCATCCAACCAGTGTTTGACTATCGACCACGAGACTGCTGTAGTACCTCCAAGTAAAATAAACTTTTGTTTAAGCTGCCATTATCTGGAGGTTTTTCACTGTGTGCAAACTCAATGGTAGCTATGTTTACTTAAAGTCTTCTGGAAAAGCAGAATTTTCTTTAAGGTGAAAAAATGTATTTCTTATTAATCAATCACCACTTCACATGGCGTTCTAGGGGATGTTAGAATAAGATATGCCTGTACAGAATGTTCCAGAAAGTACAAGTACTTTCTGGAATAAAAAGTGTATATAAATCTGTGTGTATAAATCTGTCTGAGCCCTTTAAATTATAACTGCTTGCAGTTTGTCTAAGTGCCATTATTTTCCAACCAGCAAAACTCCATTTCCAACACACTATAATTAGCAACAGGTAAGTGGCATGAGGCGACCCAAAGCTATTAAGGGAATTTCGTTCTTCATTTCAACCTCCACTGCAACCCCAGATGTAGGACAACTGTTCCAGGAATCTGAAACCTCCCTGCTGCCCACTTCTCATAAAAAACTTCCTGTTTGTATGTAACATTTCAAAATCATCAGGCGCTTGTAAAGGCTAACAGTGAGCTGCCCCGTGAGAGGAGGTCTAACCCCTTCTGCTAAACAGAGTCCCAGAGTGGGACCCAACCCCACGTGCTGTTCCCCTGTAGGTGTTTGATGAATGAAATCAGAGGCCCACCGTGGCATCCGTGAGTTTCTCCCACTTTGGTGTGATGAAGTACCAAATCCCAGCGCCGGCCCCGGGCAGGGTGACTCCTCGGATGAGAAGGATCACGAGCACAACATATGGGAACGTGGCCGTGAAGTACACCACCTGCAAAAACAGCCACAGTGCGGCAGGAATGAGCAGACGCACACGATGTGACCAGAGGACCATCAGGGAGGCAGAGTGTGACCTCCATCCAGACACAAGTGCCTCATGGGCTATTTTTCCCCAAACTCTTCCAGGATGGGGGATGCAATAAAGGCACTGTGACCAAAGATGAGTCAGTGAGAGCCAGAAATAAAGTCTCAAGGGGGACATCCAAGGCTGTGGGCAAGAGTCAGAAGTGGCTAACTCCCTGAGGACCAACTGAGGGAGAAATGCTATATGCCCTCTTCCTCCTGAACACCTAGCTCACCGTCAGCTTGAGGCCCCAAATTCCACCATTAGAGATTCATTTCTTTAACTTAAATTTTCCATCCTTGTTTATGCACACACACTAACTGAGGCAGCCCAGGGACATGAAAGAAGCATGATCTTAGAATTTGGTATATTTAGATTCAAATGAATTCGCACTTCTGGCACTGAGTAGCTATGAGACTTTAGACAAGCTATTCAGCTCTCTGAATCTTAATTTCTGCATCTGTAAATGGGATAATAGCACCTTTCTTTAAAAAAATAATTGTGAGGATTTTAAATGGGCCTCTAGCATAGCACTTGATTAGTGACAAATGGTCACTAAATGCAGTTAAGTTCAACAAGCATTTATCACGGGCCTACTATGAACTGGGAGTTATGCCAGGTCCTAGATGCATAAAGATGAAGGAACTCAATCTAGGAGACCCAGAGCCAACATCTGAATAATGGCTTAGCAGTTCCAAACAGGACACTGTGAAGTCCAGGGGAAGGCGCTGAGCCCCACCCGAAAGTTCTGAGAAGATGCATGGAGACAACACACGGCTGGATCTGAGAGGCCAAGTGCAACGTGAAGGAGGTGAAGCCCAGCAGGAAGGTGAGGGAAGAAGGGGGGACAAGGCAGGGGTGAGGGCCAGGCCCTAAACTCACTGGGAGCTCGGCACACAGCTGGGGCTAAGAGCCAAGGGATGCTGGACGCATGGGCCAGGTCAGGGAGGCCCGGAGTCCCAGACAACGAAGGCTCCTGGGCTTGGGACAGAGGGAAGAAGCAGAGCCAAGAAACATTTGGGAAATAATACCAACAGAATTTGGGGGCTGTGGTTGGAGGGGGACGAGGAGGAAGCACCTTCCTTCTCTGTCGATCAAACCTCGGAGTGGAGGACGGGCTTGGGACCAGGACTCTAGACGCAAGCAGCGTGGGCTGGGAGAGCTCTGACTCTGCACTCCCTGAGTGCAAATCCCAGCTGCAACAGTTACGAGCTGGGCCACCTGGTGAAGTGACTTAACCTCCCTGAGTCTGAGTGTCCACACGGGCAAAGCGGTGATAACGACTGCGTACTCCTCACGGGGCTTTAGAAGAGCAGGGTGGGACAATCCAGACAACGCAGAGCAGGCCTGGGGGCCCTGGAAACGGAAGTGCCACATCCATCTTGCTTACGACTCACCAGTCCTGAACTTAACGACCCCGGCAACCCTCAGCTCTCGAGCCGGTGACATCTCTAAGTGCATCAGAGGACACTTGGAAGGATGAGGTCCCGCGCCCATCCCTGACCACCTAAGCCTCCCTCATCCGTGACTGGGAGGAGGCACAGAGTGAGCACTGTGGGCTCAGAGCCCCTCCGTGCCCACCACTGTCTCCCTTCCTGGGCACCCCTGGCCTGCCCCCAGGAGGGAGACAGAGCCCCCTCTTCACGCACTGGCTGCACAGACCCCAGGGCCTGGCAGGAGGCTCCAGGCTGGCAGGCACTGTAATTTCAGGGGACGAGGTCTGATCCAAAGACTTAGGAAGGATGGCTTGGGAGACAGTTTGATAAAACTCTCGAGGTTGCTTATTTCTTCAATAAATACACAGATATGCATACATTTGGACACATATTTTTGAGCATCTAATACACTCCAGGCACACGCTGGGGAGGTCAGCTGGGAAGAAGGATGTATTAAAGGGGTGGACAGGGAAGACCTCTTTGAGAAGTTGCCCGGGACTTGAAGGAAGTGAGAGTGAGCCAACTGGATATCCGGGAGAACATTCCAGACAGAGGGAACCGCAGGAGAAAAGAGCCTAAGAAGGTGGTGTGCCGACCTTCCAGGAGCAGCCAGGCAGCCAGTGTGGCAGGACTTCAGGTGGGAGAGGAGGTCGGGGGCGGGGAGGGCAGGGACAGGTCATACCTGCAGGGCCTGGGGGCGCGAGGGTGAAGATGGGGAGGATTGGGGCAGAGCAGTCACACAGTCTAATATTTTAAGTGTCACCCGGTGGCTAAATTGCACTTTTACCGCAGGGGGAGCGGTTAGGAGGTCACGGCTGCAATGGTTCCACCCAGGGCTTTTCAGAGGAGCCGGGACAATGGTCAGAAACCAGAGCAGCCGAGCGACAGGACTTCCTGACGATTTCATGTGGAGAGAGAGAGACAGGGAGGAAGGAGTTCAGGGTGACCCCGAAGGTTCTGGCTTCAGCCGCTGATGGGCAGAGGAGCTGTCGGCTGAACGGGACAGGCTGCAGGTCAAGGAAAGAAGAGGAGGTACTTCTTCCTCTAAACCCAATTCGATCCCGGGGTTGGGAAGATCCTCTGGAGAAGCGAAAGGCTACCCACTCCAGTATTCTGGCCTGGAGAATTCCATGGACTGTATAGTTCATGGGGTCACAGAGTCGGACATGACTGAGCGACTTACACTTTCTAAACCCAATTACTCGTCAAGGCCAAAGTCTTCCTGTCTACAGACCAGGCGTGGGCTGGTCTCCTGGTCTCCACACAGCTTCCGTCACCCACCAGGGGCCTCTTCCCTGCCCCCATGACAGGGGTCCCTCCTCCGTCCTTGCCCTGAGGCACTGGCATTACCAGGGACGGCGAGGGGGTGGCCTGCTCCCTCCCATCCCCCAAACTTGCTTCTCTCCTTCCCCTTCCACACAGTGGGAAACCCAAAGGCGTCTGCTGTCTCAGGAGAAAATCACTCCCGCAGGACGACCTGGGCTGTACTCCCACCTGTCAGATGGGGCTGAGGGGAGGAACGCTACAGGGGCCAGAGGGGCCCTGAGCAGTCTGACCTCCCCACCCCACCAAGACGGCAGGGGCAGGGTGACAATCTTGATCACGTGGGGCTGGTGGGGGCGAGGGAAACGATGCAAACAGTGGGGTCCGGCAAGAAGAAAACCCCATGACTAGCACCAGTCTAACCGCCTGAGACGCTGCTCCCATTTGACTGCTGGAGGTGGTTCGGGCACAACCGTTTCTGGAGCTCCTGCCACGGATCAGCTCTTTGCAGCCCCATTTTACAGAGGAGAAAACTGAGGCTCGGGTTAAGGCTCCCTCAAAGGGTTAAATATCTCACTCAAGGTCTTCCAGCTGGAGCCAAGATCCAGACTTGACATTTTCTAACTCCAAAGCCTATTTCCTTCCTTTTAATGCCAGTCCTTGAGCCACCTGATCAGAAATGTGAGAGGCAGGGGCTCGGGTGAGGCAAGGGAACACCCAGGTGCACAGTTTAAGGAAGCGCCCATTCTCACCGGCCCACCCTGCACGTGCAGGAACCTGAAAGTGAACTCAGCCCTAGATTTCACACCCCAGGCACGTGTGTGCCTCACCGGCTCTGGCCCTGGTGTGTGCAATGATGCACTCGGGTTGTTGATGAGGATCGCCTGTGAACTGAAAGGATGCCCAGTTTCATGTCTAAATCCTGGGGATGCCTCCCGTGTGAGCCAGGTGTTCGTGGAGGTTTGATCACAGCTAGTTTTCCTTTGTCGTGGGGACTTCAGAACACACCTGTTTCAGGATGGACTGTCAGAGACATTAAACTTGAACAGTAATGAATTATACTTGGCAGGAGTGACTATGACGGGTTGATCCCAGCCTGCTGGCCTGACACCTGGCATCATCGTCCTCACGATGGGAGCCCTGAACAGGTGGTAAGGCCACCCCCCTCCCAAGGCTGTGCCAGCTAATTAAGCGAGCTTTCTGTCCTTGCCGTAACTCTCCAGCAGAGCAGCCCCGGAGGTCAGATGGGCTGCGTTTGACCTTCGGGCTGCCTGCTGGTCGCACCAAACTCTGGAATTCTAGCTGTTCAAAGGGAGACAGAGGTCTCATAGAAGGCAACCAGCCACTCTTATCTCCTAGGACCCTAAACAAGAGGACCTGAGCTTATCTTGCTGCAAGAGAAGAAGGACATCTCTGTTGCTTAGAAATGACAATTTTGGTGGAACTTCAATCACAAAGAAGCCTGTTATAATGAGGAGCTGCAGCCGTGCTTACAAACAAAGCTTCATGATTAATGTCTGCACACCCCAGGGCAGGAAAATAAATTGGGACACATTATTTCTGGCAGTATTCCTCATTTTAAAAAATTAATTATTGATCCCTAGTTGGAAATCTTTCTCAACGAAGCAGAAAGATAAGTTAGCAGATCTAAAAGAAAAACTTACTTGCTGCTGCTGCTAAGTCGCTTCAGTCGTGTCCAACTCTGTGAGACCCCATAGACGGCAGCCCACTAGGCTCCCCCCCATCCCTGGGATTCTCCAGGCAAGAACACTGGAGTGGGTTGCCATTTCCTTCTCCAATGCATGAAAGTGAAAAGGGAAAGGGAAGTCGCTCAGTCATTTCCGACTCTTCGCGACCCCATGGTCTGCAGCCTACCAGGCTCCTCCATCCATGGGATTTTCCAGGCAAGAGGACTGGAGTAGGATGTCATTGCCTTCTCCGTTACTTGCTGAGAGCTACTCAAAAATCCTCATTTCAGAGACAGAGTCCATGATATCTGGCACCAAGGAATAAGGTCTACATCATGCCAAGAATTGATTCTGACTGAATCAGAACTGAACCATCCCCCTAAAAATCAGACTGATAGATAAAGAGAGGTCTAAGAGAAAATATACTTTAACCCTTGAATTTGCAGACGTGGAAGAAGGGATAAAGTGCCTCCTGGGACTTGCCCAACTGGCAATGAGAGCTGACGACAGTGAGATGTCCCAATTCACAGTGCAGACGATGAGTCCAGGATTCTGCGTTTCCATATTCCTAACAGACCCTCCTTGGGGGAGGATGTCATGTAGGGGAAAGAGTCTAGGCTTTAAAGGGAAACACCTGGCTTCAAACCCCAGGGCTGCCATTTAACAGCTGTATGACCTCAGGCAATTTACTTTGATGTGCTTCAGCTGCTCTATCTGTAAAATGGGAAGAAATGTCAATATCCTGCTAGGTAAGGTGGATGGAATGCACTAAAAGAGGTGAAGTACACTGCCTGGCCCACGGAGTGCTCAACCAAGTTCCCTTTCTCTTCCCATTTTCCCACCAGAGCCGCTGCTTTCAAGATGTCGGTATGGCACAGTACCCACTCAATCAATCAATACCACAAAAATGAAAAGAGCTAATGTTAATTAAAAACTGACTATATGCCAGGTATCCATTCTCTCACCTAATCTTAGAGCAGCTCATGAGGTATGTACCATTATCCCCATTTTACAGATGAGGAAACTGAGGTTCCAACAGTCAAATAGCTCATCCACAGCTACACAACTAGAAAGTGATAAAGATGGGATTTGAACTCAGGTTGGTCTGAATCCACAGCCAGCAGGTCATCCTTCCTCATGTCAGCAAGAAGCCTGCTGTTATCCTCCTCACCATCACCTCTTCCCCCACCAGTCAGACCTTCTAGCCTATCCTGCTAGAGACCCGTCTGGCCTCTTTGATTATGGTTGAAGTTGTCCTCTCTCCATTTCCAGCTATAAGTGATGGTCCTGCCAGTTGGATTTTGGCTGAGCAAAGGTGTGGTCACTCTTGCTAAGCAACCTCCTGTCTGGCCCTTTATTCTCACTCGAAGCTCAGTTCCAAGTCGCAGGAGGTGAGGAGACTCGGAAACCCTCGGGACTCACAGGACGTTCCTGTCAATGTCATGTTAACATCTTCCCCATTTTCTTGTTGCCCTAGAAAAACAATCGCTCCAGTCTCATAATTCTCATTCAGAGTCAGCGGGCGCCTCAGGGGTCACGTGATCCCAGCTCTCGTTTTATGGAGAAGGAAACTGAGGTCAGAGAGGGAAAGTGCCTGCATCTCAGCCAGCTAGTGTTCTGACAGAATCATATTAGAGCCAGTGAGTCTTAGACATCACCCAGTCCAACTGCCTTCACTTTGGAAATGAGAGAACCATTAGCTCCTGAAATAGCTAAGATAAAGAAAATCTGCTGTCTACTTACTGGCAAAGAGATAAATCAAACCAAGGGCAAATGTGAAGCCCAGACAGGTTTCATGGCCCAAGTGGAGATGTCCCTACACCTTGGGAAGGTCTGGGGGACTAGAACCCAAGCCTGCTCTCTCCCCACCTGATGTCATTTAAGGGCATCACCTGGCTCAGGTGATCCTGACCAAGATGCCAGAGTCCACCGTTCGGGCCCAAGTGGAACCAGATTACATGGAGGGCACCAGAGGCCCTGACGATCTTGTCCACGTGTCTGGGGAGAAGACAGACTGCTCTGTGTCGCTGATGGCTGTCGTGTGGGTGCCTGGTGGGGCCTGGGAAACACGCCCAGCAGGTGAAAGCTGGCACAGACCCTCGGCCCTATGAGGCCTGATCCTTCCAAACTGGTTGCTTCTCATTGTGACCACGCTAAGCCCTGACCCAGACAACTGGACCACGTCAAACTCTACAACCTGTGGACTCAAGAGTCCACCATCACACTCTATTCCTTAGGCCTTTGAGACAGTTCGGGTTTCACTCTGAAACATGCAAATGACTCTTTAAGATAGTTAAATATTATTGGTTGTCATCAAAGAGATTGGTTAACCATTTAGTGGTTTTTTTCTTTTTCTAAAGAAGCAGGAAGACGAGGGGAAATGCTGGGACCCTACCACGAGGTCCACTGTGCCCTGGGGTCGCCCACACGCCCTGTGTGTTGTGTCCTGAAACCGAGCTTGGGGCAAGGGCTTCACCACCTCCAAAGGGCCAGCCAAGTGACTACCTAGCAAGAGGGGCCAAGCATGTGCTCCACAGAAAGATATCCCGCTGGCAGGACCATCACCCTTTACTGCTGGGGGCATGTGGGGTGGGAGAGTGTTAGGCTCCAGACAGGAGAAAGGGCATGAAAGGCGGAGGGGTCAGCAGTGGGAGAAGGAATCCACTTTACAATTTTTATCTTACTCCAGCTCCTTGAGAGGAGCAGTAATTGAGCTGGCAGCCAGACCAAGATGCAAAAAGCCAGAGCAGTGATTCTAGAGCTTGGGGGAGTGACTGAAGCATATCGGGGATTCCCATCTACTGAATGAAGGGCCCGACAGGAAAGGAAGGAAACCCATCCATCCCCTAGGAGCCTTGAGAACATCTGTCTCATTTAACCCTTAAAACCTCTGGGGCAGAAAGGCGCTATTATCCCATTTTACAGATAGGAGTGAAGTCACTTGCCCAAGGCCCCACAGCTACTCAGGGCCAGAAGGAGAACCTGCAACCCTGACTCTCTTCCCAGGTGCTGGGAAGACCACACAACCGGCCCTGGGTGTCCCAGAGCTTCCTCTTACTTTTCCTTTTTTTCTCTTACTTTTCCTGAAGTCTTGATTCCCTTCGCCAAGGAGGCATATACAATCACCCAAGCCAGGAAGAGGCAGAGGGCTAGTGGCCACCTGATCTCGCCAGGATACTCAATCCCTGCAGAAATCTTCAGCACAAAGTACCTGCGAGTTCAAAGGAGAGAAGTGATGGGGGCGGGGTGGGGAGGGAGGGGGGCAGGGAAGAGAAGCAGGAGGTGGGGGAGGTGGCGGTCTGCAGGCTTTCTCTTCCTGCAGAGCCGGGGAGCCTGGAACAAAATCCCAGCATCCCCCACCCTCCCCACCAGGGGCCGGATCAGATCAGGTTGTGAGGGGTTTGCTGACTGGGGCTCCCGCCCACAGCTGTCTGAGGTGGAACCAACTGAATTCACTCTGCTTTTAATTAATTATGGCCCTAAATGACTTACTGTATAGCACAGGGAACTCAGTATTTTATAATAACCCATAAGGGAAAAGAATCTGAAAAAGAATGTGTGTGTGTGTCTGTAACTGAATCAAGGATTGTACACCTGAAATTAGCATGAGGTGGTAATACAACTGTACTTCAACTTGAAAAAAATTAATTATGGCCCTGGGCAGGCTCTGAACAAGACTACACCAGCTCTACCATCATTGGCAGCTGCCCCAGAGCAGTGTAACAAATCCAAAAGCCTCGGGGTGGTGGGGGTGGGGGGGTCCTGGTGCAACCACCCTCCCCCAAAAGGCAATACACAGGTTGATGTTTGTATATAAGAACACACCACTAAAAAAAAAAAAAAAAAACACACCACTAACAGAAACTCTGAACTGCCAAGGAGGATTTTGTGTGTGCTTTTGTATTGTTCTACTCTTTTACGAGAACACATCCCAATAGATTTTTTATAACTTTAAAAAATCAGTACAGAAAGAATAAAAAATGCTGCTGTGCATTTTAGTTCAGGCTGTGACAGGCCTGCCCCGGGGCTGAGGTTGGCTGAAATGGATACCTCAGGGCTAGGTAGGCCTTACTCAAGGAACATATTCACAGACAGATGACCAGCGGCAAATGGAAGGGAGCTGGCGCTCATCTGTAGTGGCTGCTGGCACCTGAAGGAGTCCCAGCCTGTCTGGAGACCCCCACATCCCTGGCCAGAGGGCACATGGGCACCCTCACTCCTGGGAACAGGAGGCTGCATCAGGGACCATGAGTCATCACGACAGACAAGACCATCCCCTCGACTCTGCACCAGTCAAGTCCCAGAGCCTGTGTGTGTTGGGGGGTCTTTCTGTGACCTGAACCAAGGGCCAGCCAGCATCCAGACTCTGCAGCAGGGGTTCCCAGCCTCCAGAATCTAATGTCCGATGATCTGAGGTGGAGCTCAGGTAATGAGAATAAAAATGAAGTGCACAACAAATGTTAAACTCTTGAATCATCCTGAAAGTGCAAAAACTCTTCCACAAAACTGGTCTCTGGTTTCAAAAAGGTGGGGAACCGCTGCTCTAGAGGGCTGCAGACATGACAGCTGACTGATCTGACCTGCTCAGGGAAGCCGAGGGGACAGCACCCCTCCTGGTCTAGCTGGGGCCCCCTGGACTCAAAGGTAAAGAAGAAGTCACCAAGCGTGGGGCCAGCCTCAGCTCCCAAACCTCAGGGGCCATATTTCCCAAGCCCTGAAAAGGTCCCCCAGCCCCCACGACCCACCCCGCAATAGGTAGGCCATCTAATCAATGATTCCCCAGCCCCTTGGCCTTCTCAACCACTCCATGGTTTAATAAGGGATGTCGGTTGGGCCTGGAGAAGCTCTTGATAACAGTCCCTCTGGGAAACTAAGATGGTCCCAGAGAATTTGCAAAGCCACAAAAGGCAGATTTACAAATCACTCTACCATACAACCACTGTCCAGGCGGCACTAGTGGTAAAGAACCTGCCTGCCAATGCAGGAGACATAAACGACGTGGGTTCGACTCCTGGGTCGGGGAGATCCCCTGGAGGAGATCGACAATACAGCTGACCACATGGATTATGTGATCAGATTTCAGCCAACCACGGGTCAGGCTCCTTTCTCAATGTTCAGGGTGAATCAAGGCCCACCCTCACTGGTCAAAGTTATCTTTAGAGGGGATTTTTTTTCCCTCATTCAGCCTAACTGCCCCTTCTGTTCTACGAGGAATATTCATGTACCCTCAGAGTCCATACAGGAGAGGAAACTTGGAATAGGAATTCATGGTACTCGGGAAAACCAGGGGGGATGTAGTTGACCACTTCTTATTATCTAAGTAGAGGCCGCCAACGAGGCGCCCACTGACCTATGCATCTTATTTGACATCAGTGTTTCACTTTAATTGGTTTGCTAACATTTAAAATGAGAGAGAGACATAAGAATTCATATTTGATTTCCAGCGTCTCTTGTAAAATGGAAGCCCTGGTGCACTGGCCCAGTGGTCAGAGAGGGCGCAGAGAGAGGCAGCCCAGCCCCCAAGTCCACAGGCTGGATATTCACTAATTTTCTGGGTTTCTCTTGGAAAGTGTTTTTAAAAAATCTTACTTGAAATACTCTTCACTCCCACTGACGAACGTCTTATTGGCCTGGCTGGTGAAGTTAACCATTGTCAAGTTGGGATAGGCGGTCATGCAGAAAGTCGAGTTCTTGATCTGTATTTTGGGATGGTCATTGATCACACAGGAATCTGTTCAGGAGAAGATGGAATGAAAACACAGTGAAATCTGTACAGAAAATAGACACTTGTCCTTCCAGCAACTTAAAGACAAAAGCTAAAATATTTCCTCAATATTGGACAGTCACTTTTGGGAAGGTATTAACTGAGCAAAGCTGGATGCAGATGAACCCCAAAATTGTGTGTTACTCAACCTGGAGCCCCTGGTACCCGCTTCAACCGTGCCTGCTCCTGGTAACAACAGCACTGCTTTCTGGAGCACTCTCTCTACATGCTAAGCACTTTACATGCGTTATCTACCCTGAGGCTCACAGCAGCCTAGGCTGTGGGTACCACTGCCTCCATCTTTAAGATGAGGAAAAAGGCTCAAAGTAAGGTTATTAGGTGATTCTACCAAAATCATACAGCTAACGAGAAAGAGAAGCAGGATTCAAACCCAGATCCTTATGATTCCACAAAGAATAAATGGCTTGGGGAAATGAATTTTAATCAGGCATCAGCAAAAATGAAGGGCTACAGCCAGAGAAGGCTCACTAATAAGCTCACCCTGAACCCACTGTTTGGCACGACGGCCGACACACAGAGGTCCCCTAAGTACGCGGGCCGCGTGCTTTCTGCACAACGACGTGAGCTCAGGAGCCTGCAACAGGGCTTCCCAGCTGGGGACGAATTTGTCCACCAGGGGGCACCTGGCAATGTCTGAGGACACAGCTGTCCTGTTCAGGGAACAGGGGGCTCCTGGAGTCTAGTGGGCAGAGGCCGGGGATCCTGCTGAACATCCGACAGTGCACAGGACAACCGCCACGACAGAGAATTATCCAGCCCCACATGTCAACAGTGCAGAGGCTGAGAATGCCTGACCTAGGCTGGGGTGGGGCCGGGGAACTAACCAGATGAGTCAGTGTGTCTGGCACCTTGCTGGAAGCTTTGCCAATTATTATCTCATAAAAGCCTCCGAAAACCTGGGAGGTGCCTATTATTATCCTCATTTTAAACAGGAAGAAACTGAAGTCTTTGTGATCACGTTACAATGTCTCTATGATCCCTCGATTGATAGTTTAGATAAACAGTTCACCAGGATTAATGCCAAAGGATATTTAATGTATAAAGACGTGAAAGTAACACTAACAACAATAACTAACACTTACACAGCACTTACCATGTACTATTTTAAATGTCTTATATGTCTTAAATGTCTTAACTAATTTGACTCACACCTGCAAATAAAGAAACTGGGCACAGAGAAGTGCAGTTGCTTGCCAAGGTCACACAGCAGAATCAGGAGGCAAACAGTCACTCTCTCTTTGGAGGCCATGCTCTGAACCACTCTACTGGGAAGCACAGAGCAGGGAACATAAACTCAAACACCTTCAAGTCAGGCTGGTGACACAAATGAGAAAGATATAAAATGGAGGGTAAAAAGTTATGATAAACAGAGAGGATGACAGAGGATGAGATGGTTGGACGGCATCACCGACTCAACAGACATGAGTCTGAGTAAACTCTGGCAGTTGGTGATGGACAGGGAGGCCTGGCGTGCTGCAGTCCATGGGTTCTCAAAGGGTCAGACATGACTGAGCGACTGAACTGAACTGATCTGAAACAGAGAGTATGATCTTCCCTCTGTATCTGCAGATTTAATATCCTCGGATTCAACCAACTGCAGACTGAAATTTCAATGGAGGTTGGCTGGATACTGTTTTCATTGTCTACACCATTTTACACACTGCACTGGAACACCTGCAGACTTCGGTATCCGAAAGGGCTCTGGAACCAATCCCATGAATGTCGAGAGATGATTGCACCAGCCAATCCTGCCACGCTTTCCCAGGTGTTCTGATCAAAGATGCAGAAAACCTGCATATTTACATGAAGTCTCTCCATTTTAAAATATTGGAAATAAGGCCAAATTATCTTTAAACACCGTGGACCAAACAAACAAAAAACATGCAGCCTAGATCTGGTGCATGGATTCCAAATGTATGTCCTCCATGGAACAGCAAAGTGGGTAAAACTGCGGGTTCAGGTGGACAAGTTCCTTTATCTGTTCAAGCCTTTGTTTTTCTGATCCTAAAGTGTCTAGTTTGAAGGCTGTTCTAAGAACCAAATTAAGGGAGATAGATCATGAATGAAACCATCTCACGCAACACCTAGCACACAGCTGAACTCGGTAAAATTTAGCCATAATGCAAATGGCATTGTTACATCTTTTCATGGGATGAGCATCTCTGACCCTCAAGATCATCTCTCAATTCCACTTGCCAGCCATAAAGTATCTAATGCCTCCCACACAACCTCTCCAGAATATATGAGAAGGCCGAATAAAATTTAAAGCTGTGATAATAAGAACCCCTTACCTCTGATTGGTTCCTTAGACGACAGGTTTTCTAAACAGCGGTACTACTGACACTTGGGATCAGAAAATTCTCTGTGGTGAGGAGGTTGTCCTGAGCATCGCAGGGTATTATATTAGCAATATCGCTGGCCTCTGCCCACTAGATGTCAGGAACATTTATCTTCCCCCTACCCCACTTGTGACCAAAAATGTCTGTGAACATTGCAAAATGCCTCCTGCAATATCTCTGGAGTTTGAGAAGCACCACTTAGAGAGTTCTCAAAAAACCTTCTTACTCAATATTATCTTCTTTAATCAAATAACAGTTTCAGGGGGATTCTGAGCTCAAAACTATCAACTATTTACCAAGGAAGCATTTGTTTCCCCCAGCGGGGACCAGGTTGAAGGCAATTAAAGCACCACCCATGTCCCTTTTCCCTAAAGAAGCACAGAAGTTATTTCTAGCCCTCCTGCCAAAAATTCCAGCCCTCTATGATGGAAGAGATCGCTAACACACGGGCAAACTTCAAATCGCTTGCTTCCAAACCTGCCACAGAGAAACACGTGGGCAGCTTCCCTAGCGCGCGTCTCTGGGCGTGTCTGGATTACCACTCACCGCCGCAGCGCAAGGTCACAGCGTCCCTGCGGCACTGCGGCCTGCTGCAATATCCCTTCCCACCACTGGGCGGCAGGAGCGCGCTTCCCAGCGCACTGCGCCTTCAGGTCCGCCCGCGAAGGAACGCCGGGCCCTGCCGCCAGCCGGCTCTGCGGCCCAGCAACCCTGAACAAAGAACCGCGATAAGGGTCGCGCTGAACTGGAAGCGGTGGGAAGGATTCTCTTTACTTGGGCAATCAGGAATAAATGAGAGCACACGAAAGACTAGGTAGAAAAGGAATCGTTGAATTAAAGTTCTAATGCAAATTAAGCCATTCCAGAAATAGAAATGGTGTTTGTGCAATTCCCATTTTAGGTAACCCAGCTAGCTCCTAATTTCAAAAAGCAGTCTCTGGTCTCACTCAGCAGGACATGGATTAGCCCTTCAACATTACAACTACCCAGAGGGTTGAATGTCCTAAAGGAAAGCAGCCTCTCTCACAATCTACACCTTAGAAACGTGTGGCAAGCTCTACCAGTGGACTGAGCCGGGGCAGGTACAGCATCCTGGCATCTGAGTGATGAGGGGGGTCCCCGGCAGTGTGTCCCTAGCAGAGCTCAGAGGCCGTGGGATAAAACCCTTCCTGCTGTAATTGAAGGTCACAATGGCCAGGGAATCTATCCTGCTCTCCTGGGACCAGCTGCCCGCTATCACAGGATAGGATGGCTATGGGGTTATAAGGGGGTGGATGAGCTTGGAAAGTCATTTGTGGAACACTGCATTAGGGGAGGGAGTTTTTCCACTTCCTAAATGAGGACAGCAAAGCCTGGCATGCTGCCGCCCATGGGGTTGCAAAGAGACCAATACGACTTAGTGATGGAACAACAAAAACAAGCCTCTCAGAATGACCATTTGGGAGGCAGCCTGGGACATCATCGTCTGGACTCCCTTTATTTTATTTTTTTGGTGACACCATGCAGCATGCAGCATCTTAGATCCCTGATCAGGGATCGAACCTGTGCCCCCTGCATTAGGAACATGGTGTCTTAGCCAATGGATCAGCACAGAAGTCTTTGAACTCCCATCTTGTACAGCGGAGAAATGAGGCTACAAAGCTGACTATGTCTCTGCAAGTCATCCCCTTTTCTAAGTCACTTTAGGACCCCACAGGGTCAATACTTATAAAAAGGATAGCCTGGCCCTGGTCATGGAAAACGGTCAAGTTTACAAAACCCAGCAAAGAACAGATGGAGGGGTTCCACTGAGAGAGGGGAAATTGAGACCTCCACTTTAAACAAAACAAAAAATTTTAAACTACCGGCTAAGAATGAGATAAGATCCGCTGAGTCTATCTGCATGCTTCCAGGGAATAGAATGCAAAATGTCCATTTCTCTCTCTGCTCAGAGCTTGCATCATTTTTATGGTTTGACACATAAGGTAAGGTGCTTTGCTGTAATAATATCTTCACTCTTCCTTTCATGTTCCCTGGGATATTATGAGCCAGAAAAAAAAATTCCACAAACCCAGCAAGGCCTGCACCCACATGCCTGGCCCAGTCATTGTGTTCAGGTTGCTGTAAAAATACACACACACTATATATAAATGTATATGTATACATATACATATACATTCTCCAACCATAAAATAAATAGAAAATCCCTGATAGAAAATCTAGGGAAAGGGGAAAAAAAGAATGGCTCCAAATCTACCAGGTAATATGCTGTGTGTCACTTTCCTATATGTTTTCTAGTGAGCACATTATTGTTAGTAAAAACAAAATTATACTATAAATCTGTACCCTGCTTTTACATTTAACATGATGTGCTGATGATATCCCTATGTTTTATGAATATTCATTTTTAAAGACAATGAAGTATTCTTTAGTCTTTAAAAATGCACTGTTATTTGAACCATGGAATTATTGAATCTTTGTTACATATCTAAGCATTCCCCGTGTTTTCCTAGGCTATAAATGTGACTACAATGAACAATCTTGAATAGTCCTTACCTGTGTGTTTGATTTTCCCTTAACCGTAGATCCCCAGAAGTGATATGACTGAGTCAAAACTACTGTTCAAATGAGCTTTCTTTTAAACCCCATAGAATCTCAGCTATAAACCCCTGGGCAGATGTCACTCTGCCAAGGCTGACAGAATAAAGCCTTCAGGAGACCTGGATGAGCAGAGAATTGGGGTCATTGAGACCCTAATTCTGGTGCTGGCTCTACCTAGAGATGAGTGACTGGATACTTCCACCCTCTGAGGCTTAGAGTCCACTTTGTCACCTGCAAAATAGTGACCACGTCATTGCCTCTTGGGACTCATAGGGCTCTTATTAGGAATAGCAGAGACATCATTTATGAAGCTGCTGTGTAGGCTAGGGAATGGTTAAGACCATGGCCTTGGGAGGCAGGCAAACTTGTGATCAAATCCTAGGTCTACCACAGAGCTAGTTTTATGAACTTGAGCTCTAGATTTTTTACCTTTAAACTAGAAATAACAATTAAACCCATATGTTGGCTTGTTGTCCATCCTAACATTGGTAATATGAGTTTTTAAAGAGTTTAACATGGTGGTTGATATGTAGTAAGTGATGCTTGCTATTACTGTTAGGGCTTACTGTGTTGCATAAATACTAGTGGATATTGTTAGCAGAAGGAACAGTGTTTCTGAACTACCATCCCTCCCAAGGGACAGATGCAAGACACCGATCACCATGACCCAAGAAGGCCCTGGCAGAAGTGCCCAGGGAAGCTTCCCTGGAGGCTGGATCAAGGCAACAGCCCTCCCTGAGCGGGCGCGCCCTCAGAAAGTGACTTCTGTCCAGACACAATCCTGGATGGATAGTCCGGGCACTGGGATAACTTGAGGCTTTTTTCCACCCCAGATCCCACATCCTGGACAATGCACTTTGCCAAAGTAGCAACCAGTTTCAGGAATCCATTCCAGCAGCTGATTGTCAGTGGTGAATTTGTGAACAGCTAGCTTACTGAGTGGGGTTCTCTCAGCGGCTTTGCAAAGGTGACTCTGAGCTGGTAGGGAGAACAGGGCAAGAAGGTGGGCACTCCATTCCAAACGTGGTTAAGGGCAGACCAAGGGCTGTGGGCAAGCACCAGCCTGGTGGTTCCTACTCCTGGGTGCACCTGGAGAACTGTAAAAATACAGTTTTACAGAGTACTAGGCTTCATCCCTGGAGAGTCCAATTTACTTGGTCTGGGCTCGACTCTAAGTGATGTCCTGATTTGCTAGTTCCCAGGGGATTCCCATGTGTAACAGCTTGGGTTGAGAACCACTGCTCCTAACTTTAGAGTTCATCCATATGGAGACTGTAAAGATGAAGGCACTGAAGCCCAGGGTCTAGAGGGGCCCTACTCCTGGCCATTCCGCTGGTGAGCCCCACACCAGCTGTTGTTCAGTTGCTAAGTAGTGTCAGTCTCTTTGGGACCCCATGGACTGCATCATGCCAGGCTTCCCTGTACTTCACTCTTTCTCCGAGTTTGTTCAAATTCATGTCCATGAATGTCCCCACTCCAGGGAATCCCTCAGATCCTCATTCTGAGCACGTCTGGTGCCCTGGGTTTGAATTTGATGAGCAAGTGTCTCCAGTGTCAGCTCTCCGGCAATCTCATCCAAAGGGCCGCCAGGCAGAGGCGGGATGTGTTGTGTGCGCCCACACACGGGTGTGTAAAAGTACTCCAGTGTGAGTTCCCGCCTTTAGGAACGTGCATCTCTTGCAGGGGGGTGTGGGGGAGGTGTGAGGGATGGGTCATCTTTCTTTCTTACACACTCAAAGCGTGTAACTTCCTTGTTCGGCAATGTGCAGGCTGTCCAGGCAAACGAGCTGGGCTGACGGACCAACACTAAGACACGCAGGATTCTGACTGCTTAAAGTGAATAACAGATGTGTTGGGGAAAGAAGAAACTGCGTGCTGACTGGTGTTCACGAGAATGATCGGCACTGTCAAAGGCATCTGGTTCTAGCACCTTCTATTTGTGGCTTCCCAACTAGGACCACATCCTCCACTTTTCTCCTTACAGCAATCCCGTGCGGTAAGCAGATGAAGAATGTTGTTAGCATTTCTATTTTTCAAATGAGAAAAACTGAGACCCAGAGAGAAGTTACCTGACGCAAACGCACGTACCACCAGGGGCAAAACGCCTCACACACCAGAAGCCTTGACAGCCACTCTGCCCCGCCCCTCCTCACTGCCACCCTTTTGCCCTTGACCTAGCAAGGTGACAGTTCCCCCAAGCCCCAAAGTATTTCAGGTCTGAACCAGTGTTCCCCAGGAACATGCCCCGCCTCCCCAGACAGCCTTCCCTCTTCTAGGCACTTCGTTATGTTCCTATATCAGAGGCCTGTAGGTCAAGCGTCTGTTCTCGTGTTTGCCCCATGCTCTGGGCAGCATTCTGAGAAGTGTGGACCCAGGCTCGCATGCCTCACTCTCCTAGACTCCAGACTAGGAGTTTTTTACAGACAGTACCATGTGCAGGAGTCACCTGGGGACCCGACCCTAGCCAAATCTAGTAAGTCAGACTACTTGGTGGGACTTGCAGTTCTACATTTTCAACAAACACTCCAGCTATTCATGAGCAAACAAAAATTTGATTACCCCGCCTAGGCCACGAGTTTCTTAAACATTAGAACTAACTATATTAGAGATGGGTTTTCACCTCTGTACCCCCAGCATCTAGTATAGAACCTGACAAACGACCTAGGTGCTCAGTTCATCCTCACTGAATGAGTGAATGAATGAACAATTCGCCTGGTGCAGGTATATCCAAACTCACCTAGTAAAAGTTTGGTTTTGTCTTTGCATTCTGGCGTGTTCCAAGGGTTGTTGCAGGAGCCCCAGGGCAGCACAGACACAAAGGAGGCAAACAGGTAGAAAAGTGTGTAGCAAATAATCACATTGTAGTATATGGCTATTAGGACGGAGATGATCAGCATTGCGATGCCACAGCCTGTGGAAGCAAAAGTTTCAGGGATACGTTTCCTCCAGAACCTGTGGAATCTTTATGGTTGGGTGCAGGGCAGGGGAATGTAGGTGCTGGCTCCCTCTTACAGATGGACACATTAACAGTGGAATAGACTCTGTGTCTACCAGGGACATCGAGACATTCTGCCAGGAACACAGTGATGCCAGAGATGATCTTGGGCCCCAGTGGCGAAACTGATCACATAGAGAAGGAAGGAATGGGTTCTCCCAATTACAGAAGCAGGTCTCACTCCCTGGGGCCATTTGGTGCCAGAGAGGGCAAGGAAGGACCGAGGCAGCTGGGAAGCAGGGAACACTCACCTTGCAGGGCTGGGATGGCCTTCCACACAGACACTGGCCCCTGGCTGGCAAACTGGCCCAGGGACACTTCTAGGAAGAAGATGGGCAACCCTGCCAGAGCCAGCATCATCAGGTAAGGGATGAGGAAAGCACCTTGGGAAGAGAGAGTGGGAGGTGAGTGCTCAGAGAGGCCCAGGCAGGCAGGCTCCATCCTCCCCCTCGGGGAGCTCGCCTTCCCCAGGAAGCTTTTGATATTCCAGCTCAACCACCAGCACCCAGGGACATGTAGGAGCCACCCTCTACACAATGCCGGGATACCCTGCAACCACACCACTTTTTCAGTTCCCCATTGGATGGATCGTTGGGGGTTGCAGGCTGAGTGGACTTTATTCTTTTGTTTTAGTACTTCAGCATCCCCAAATTAAGCCCTTCCTTCCAATGTTCAACAAATCCACACTTCTGATTACTACAGGACTCAGATTCAGTTAAATCTCACTGGGATCTCTGCCCTCCAAATCTGCTAAGCTAGACTGCAGGGGCCCTCAACTTGAGTTACTTGCACACCTTCTACCAACCAGATGGGTGGTGGGGACATCCTTCCCCCTCCACCTCAGCCTTCACACAGGTCTCAACTTCCTTCTCCATGTGAGAAGTCCCTTCCATCCTTCAAGGTCGACTCAAATGCCTCCTCCCCCAGGAAGTCTCACTTCTCTACCCTCCCATATAACCTCCCCTCCCAACACCAGGTACTTGGCAATATTTATGTGGATGTCTTATCTAGACTGCGGGCTTCCGATGCTGTTGATCCTTCCTCTTTGTTCTCCAGAACACCCAGGCCAGGGCTCCAGGAGCTAGCAGGTCTCCAGAGACTGGCTGAGGGTTCCTGGGGGTCTTCATCCTCCAGGATTCTTTGGGGTTGTTTGGTAGGAGCTTGGGGACTAGCCATGATCTTTGAAAAGGTTTGGACCAGGGAGGGCTGTTGCACAGTCAGAACCAATTTGGGGACTCATGACACCAGAGCCCAGAACACTGGGCTTCACAGAAGGAAAGCTGATCCTTCTCTTGTCAGTTCCTCCTGCTGAAGGGCCTTTCCTGTCAGGGCCCCTCCAGAGGAGGAAGGCCAGGGACTGCTGGGGAGTAAAACCAGGGCTCTTGCTTTATCCTCTCCTGAATGGGTTTTTGAGAAAGATGTGGATCATGCAGCCCTTCTCTTTTGTTCCCGGGAGGGAGGAAGCAAGCGAGCCCTCCATCCCCTCCCCTCTATCCCCTTGAAGGGGCTGGAGCCACAATGCTTGCGGAAAAGGTTGCCTTCACTCCTGGTGGCCGGATTCAACTCCCTATGCAGCATGAGTTTTTCTCAGGTCATGTTTTTTCTGAGATCTTTGTATTTCTCAGATCGCGGGCGAGGAAAGCTCAGGCCCTTCTCACTCATCCAGCAGAGGGTCTGGCTGCAAAACTGCCCTGCTCCCTGGACTGGAACTCCCTCCCTCACCCACCCTGGCTGTCCGCCCCCTTTTCTGGCACTGGAAGCTTTATCACAGCACCCTGGTCTGGGGACTCCCTGCAGAGAACCGAGCGGAAACACAGCTGGGGCGGCTGTGTCTGTGTGTGACCGGCAGGCGCTCTTCTGTTTCCAGGGCACCCCTCCGTGATCATAACCGCTCTGCACTCCTCATAAATCCTTGTCAACAGTGTCCTGATTTGGAATGAGGGGGAGGGGTGTTAACATATTTTTCTCTTTTCATCATCACGTGGCACTGCACCTGTCCCTCCTGCCCGTACCTGGAGAGCTCACCCAGAGACCAAAAAACAAAGAAACAAACAAAGCCCAAACCCTTAAGCTGCCTAACCCGATGGGGCGAGGGGCACATTTCTTATCTCCTTGGTCCAGTTGAGAAGCTATGAAAGAGGAACCTTGGTGCAAATTCCTGTTTGTAGAGGGGGCTAGGCTTAGCCCAGCTCTGTGGTGCCTCAGCTTTGCCAGGGCAAGCAGAGGGGGCCCCAGATGTGCCGGGTCCCTCCTTGGTGGGTACAGGAGAGGCTCAATGGATCCTAGAGGCCTGGCAGCTGGTGTGTGCGTGACTGGCGCCCACCCCATTTTAGAAACGGTTTTCCTTCCACCCAGTGAGGACAAATACAACGGAAACCGTTTTTGCTAAAGTCAAAATAAACCCTGCTTGTGCCCAAGAGGACGTATCTGTGTGAGTGCTTCTACTGGAGTCTCAAGAGCACAAGCCCCAGCCGCTCTGCGCGCCCACCTCCTGGCTCGCCTGCATTCTGTCCTCTGCACGACCCAAGTGCCCGGCAGGCTCAGATTTCCAAGCTACTGTCTTACCACGTACTTAATTCAATGTCCAGGGCAGCACAGCTCCTGGCTCTAAAACTATTCATGTGCAAGGAGGGCATCGGAATAACTTGTACCGAAATAACTTGTGGGCTAAATTAGGATTTGAACTCGCCTGCATCAGTGTTCCCCTGAATCAGGACCTCCCAAGTGGACAATGGGGCCTGTGGGAACCCATCTCTCCCCTGAGCGTGATCTGCAGATAAAAGCCTCCTGAATCTAGCACCAACCAGGTATGGTAGCTCCTGCTCACCGGCTTCCCATGGATGCCTACAGGGGATGGAGCTGGAGTGTGAAGGGCCTTCCCTGAGCCTCCTCTCTCAGCCCGAGTCCCCAGATTCTGCATCCCCTGCTCCAGGTCCCCCGCCAACCCACAAGTGCCCGCCCTGCCGCGGCGGAAAGAGCTGAAAAGCCATACCTCCCCCGTTCTGGAAGGCCAGGTAGGGAAACCTCCAGACATTGCCCAGCCCCACTGCGTACCCCACCATGGACAGGATGAAGTCCAGTTTGCTGGACCAGTTCCCTCGGGCCTTATTCTCATCCCCTTGCTCGTCCTCCTGGGGGCGGAAAAGCACATTGTCGGATCACAGCCCTAGGTAGGTCGGCAGGCAGGCCCCATTCCGCCCCTCCTCCACTCCCCCCCACAAAGCTGAAGGTCCTTCCCAGCAAGCAGGCCCCCACTTTTCACATGAGGATGCATCGGCAGGCAGGGCCCTGACCCCTCAACCCTGCACGCTTTCAGCAGGCAGGCTCCCAATTCTGATGTGAAGATCCATCTTCAAGAGACTCTTGAACCCCCTCTTTTCCCAAATCCCGCAGTCAGGTCACACCAGCAAGCAGCTTTCCCCAAACCTTGGACCTGTAGGTTGATTGCAAGCAGATCCCGCCATCCCCAACCCCTGACCAAGAGTTCCTTTGGCAAGCAGGCCCCAATATCATGCCTAGGGTCCCCAGCAAGCAGGTTCCTAAACATCCCCTACCTCCCAAGATTCCTCAACACACCCCTTTCTCTCTCTCTTTTTTTTTTTTTTAGTCCATGCTAAGGCCAGAAAGAGAGCTGCAATGCCTGAAGCCAGCCAGAGCCCCTGCATCACTCTCTCCAAAGCCTACAGCAGAAGCTGCCTCTCAGCTCATTAAAAGGGTACTTTTCAGCTCTAGGGAAAGGGAGGTGGGAAGGAGAGAATTATAGGGGTGAAACAAGAGGGGGACGGAGAAACAGACTTGGAAAGAAACAGGACATCAAAAACCCTGAGTTCTGGTCTACACTTTATCCTACCCAGCTGGATAACCCCAGGCAAGCCACTGGCTCTCTCGGAGCTTCTGTGTCCCCATCTGTAAACTGAGGGGTTCAGAATCACGGTCCCCCCAGGCACCCTCTAGCTCCTGCAGTCTATGGGTTTGGGGAGCTCACTTCTCAAAGCCCACACTAAGATGTGGGCAGTCTTAGGGCAGTCCCTAGTTCTGGAATGCCTTACTGCAAGGCAGAAAGAAAAACTGAAAATCAACTCAGAAAGTGTTCAGGACACCTGGACACGACACAAAGCTTCCAGGGACCTGAGCCCTGGTCCTGCTCCCTCCTCCGTGATCCTCCACCTCCTATTCTAGCATTCTGGCCTGTCCACACTGTTCCACAGGCCATGGAGGATAAAGAAGCAGCTGGCAAGATGGGAAGGAGGTCTGGGGGAGAGAGGAGGGGCAAGGTGGGTGGCAGAAAGACCAGAATCAGAAAGACAGGCAGAGCTGGAAATAGGTAAAGGCAGGGCTTGATCTACACTGACCATCTTTAATATCCCCGCTACCTCCCACGCACGTACCATCTCCAGTGCCCTCCCCCTTCAATTCTTCCAGGGCTAGAAAGGGTGGGAGTTCCGGCTCCTTTTGCCGCAGTGCGGAGGTTAAGCAAGACATGTGAGACAAATTCTCTGCCTCCACCTGGGGTCACACTCTTGGGCACAGGCTGTCACAGGCAGGTAATGCACACAGTCAAATGCTCCAGAGGTGGACCCCAAGAGCAAGGGCGAGTGGGAAAGCCTAAGGTTACATCCACTTCTAGTTATTTTAACAGCTGAGCGCTTGCTGTGTGGATAAATGTGTGTGTGAGTCTACAAATACTAGAGTAACTAAGAATGACTACATAAACCCTAGATCTCACACAGGGAGATGTTCTGGTTCAAGAATCCCCCCACTGGATACACAGGCTTAGCGCCTGAGCCCAGGGGAGGAGGCTGTGGAGAGGCACGCAGTGGGAAAGGAAGAGCTGAAGTCTATGAAACAGGATGGAGGGAAGAAATCAGAGAAGGAGGGGAGAGACTGGAGGGAGTGGGAGAAGAAGACAAAAGCCCATATGGGAGGGGGGCCACCAATAACAGCTGCCTCCTCCCCCACTCAGGATTGGAATTTGCTTTGTGGGTTTTTCATGCCTCTGATTGAATCTAAAGGATCAAATGCACAGGTGAATCCAGGTTTGTAGGGCCTGAAGCTTATCCAGTTGAGAGGAGTACTCTAAGAAAAATATATACACGAAATTAGGTACAAGTTTTGGAAAAGATAGGCTCTGAGGCTTAAACTTCAGTAGCGGCCTCATATAAACCACTTATCAAATGAGTTCCCACGATTATTGTAACTTGCAGTACAAAGCCCACAGGACTAAACCATCATTCCTCCCTTCCCCCCCGCCCAGGTTTTTCTCTGCATTTTCTTCTCCTTTTAAAATTAAGTTTAAAAAAAGATCCAGTGGTTAACAAGAGGGGGAGTCCTGTCTGCGGAAAGGGGTAAGAATCTAAACGCCTCAACTGCGTGATGAGTCTGCACCTGGATGGCCGCTACCACTGAGGCTGGGAAGGAGCAGATAGTGGCAGCTCCCAAGGTCTCGAGCCCTCTGGCAGGGTTGCGGCAGCCCTCCAGCCCCTGAACTAACGACCCCCCAGCGCAGTGCGAGTTTCCGAAGCCCCAAAGCTGCCCCCCCGCATCCATCACCTGGCGCTGCCAACCGGTCTCCCCATCAGCACACGTGCACCCGCTTGGGCCTGGCTCGCCTCTCCCGCGGCTGGGGAGCAGAAGGCGGCGCAGCTCCAGCCCGACCTGCTTACCTGGGCGGCAGCGGTGACCACGCTGCCCGGGAGCACGGACGTGATTCCATCCGTGCCCAGCACCACGGTGCTCTGGCTGATATTCACCCAGCCTACGGCCGGGGTATTGTTCCGCTCCAGGGTGCCCTTGCCCACACTCACATTCGCATCCCCCTCCGGGCCCCGCAGGGCTGGAATCTTACAAGGCAGCGCATTGCCGGGCCCGGCTCCCCCTGAAGGAGGGGCGGCCTGCGCACCGTGCGCCTCGCTCCAGTCCCGCAGAGCCGCCGAGGCCGCCGGCGCCCGAGGGCTACTCAGTTTGCAAGCCCCCGCTCCTCCGGGCCGCTCGGCCTCGCAGGCTCGCGCGTCGGGGGCATGGAAAGTTTGTGCGCCGGTGGAAGCGGACCTGGGCACACGCGGCGGCGGCGCGGCAGTGGCCGCGGGAAGCTCCTGCTCCGGGCTCGTCCTGGGCGCGCACGGGCCATCGTGGTGGCCCGGGGGCACCGCCGCCTCCAGACTGTTGGCTGGTGGTTTATTCATTTCCTCGGGAGCACTGCAATCCTGCGAACACAACGTGAAGTTCGTGCAAAACTAGTCATGGCAGCCTTAAAAAATACCTGTATCCACATATAGAGACGTTCACAACTCAGATCCAGACATAAGATCCAGGGAACAAATTGGAATCTGGATTGATTTTTTTTTTCCCTTCTTCAAGAAAAACTGTAATCAGTATTTCTCAATCTGTCTGTCTCCCGGATAACTAGATGACATAAGGAAGCTAATATTCTCCTCCCTGATAGAAGGTGAACTAAAAAAAGATGCAGAAGTGTTTTTTGGAAGGGGGGGAAGAGGAGGGCAGAAATAGCCCTACAGCCATGAGCTCCTGCCTTCTTTGGATTTCACATCACGGCTTTGGGTGCCCACGGTCCCCATCACCATTGTAGAAAGATTCTTTAATTTTCCGCCCCATTTCCTTTGTCATTCAACAATGCACATTTGCTGCTTTTTTTTTTTTTTTTAAATAAGCGATAGACAAGCTGTGGCCACAAAAGCTGATGCCCTGGCATCTGCAAGTGTTTGAGGACGAATTGGTTATGTGAATCCCAGCGATCCCCAAACTACCCACACCCGCCAGGTAGTAAAGGCAAGGATAAGGAAAACGACCAAACAATAACAACAGCCCCACAAGAACAACAATAAACCAGATTTAAAACACAAGACAGTAACCAGGTTTATCTTACACAGCCTACATTCACTTCCAGATTCCTAGATATGCAAAAGATCCTGAGAAGATTTTTGGTGCTCCCCACTCCCCAAGAATAGCTATTCACAAGAGTTTAATACCCATGCCCCTATTCTGGCTTAGGAACTGAAACTCAGGACTACTAATTTTCACTTGCTTTCTCCCAGTTGAGAATAAAAATAACTGCCAGCAATATTTTTTTTCACCCACTTTCCCTCTTCATGTTATCTTTCAGGGCTTCATAAATATTAATACCACCAATTACTATTATACTGTAAGAATAATCATATTACCTTCACCTCAGCCACACCTAACCTTCTTGCACAAATGCACAGATCAGAACCCTGTAATTTGCACCAAATTAAGTATCTCAGCTTCAGCCAGCATTCTTATCTCAGTGCCTCTATACTCAGTGGCTCCTGGCTTTTCAGTACCAAGGACAGTTCCCAGAATAGCGGGATTGGGCGACACCTCCAACCTCTTAGCTCCAGAGCCTCAGAAACCTCTTTCCCACCCCCAGGTGATGCTCACAAGTACAATGTACCTATGGTTGTCTTCCCTTTGCCTTTCAGAATACATAGAACATTTCACAAAGAAATATCCAAAACGAATCTGCCCTTCTTACACTCGCAGCACCCTCTCCTCTTAAAAGAACAAAAGCAAACACTCACCATGTCTGAACGGGCAACAGATTCGACGAGTAGAGAGTGAGACCAGCTATTGACAAGACTGGGTTTGGCTCCAGCAAGAGAGGCGCTTTCTATATCTCCTTGGGAAAGGCCGGGTTTGCGTCAGTGCAAAGCAAGGTGCCCTTCGTTTGACATTTTCTTGATAATACAAGTTTGATAAATCATTACCCCCTTGGATTCGAGTTTTAAAGGGACATCAGCTGAGAGTACGCTGGCCAGTTGTCACTCAGGCGGGAGGGGGCTGCGTGTTCGGCGTGACTCATGTGGGTCTGATTACTAAACCGAAGCCGGCGGGAGGGGATGACAGAAGTTTTCCTCCTCCTAATTAAGGGAAACATGGGAGGGACACGTCCCACTGCACCCAAGCCGAGGCGCAGCCGCCAATGGATCGGATTGGGCTGCCGAGGTGGGCGTAGGGGAAGGAGTTAAATCACTGTCGTGTTTCCTTCTTTCTCCTCGGCTAGATCCCCTTGCCACCTCTCCAAACCTGCAGGAAGAGGATTCCGCAGTATTACGCTAAAGAGATCGAGGGTCTGCACGAAGCACCACAGCCCTGCAATGGCTGTGCATGGGGCCCTGCATTTAAAAGGCTGTAACAACCTTGCCTGTACGTGACTTCAGATTCCCACAGCCCAACCTCCCTGTCAGTGTTGGGGGGATCCTTAAAAAATAGGTCTTCGCTTAAAAAACTGAGGTCTAGTGTTTGCATTTCTACATTATCTCTATGAACACAATAAGAGACATTCCTAAGTAATATTAGGATTATTCTCATTGCGTGTTTTAAGCTCCTCTGACAATATTATAGAGAAATAAAAAAGAAATTATTTCCAACACTGATCTGGTTCTTAGGTCACTCTCAAAGTCAAAGGAACTCCATTCTTTCTTCCTGTCCCTGTTGATAAAAATCCACCACAGCCAGGGAATGACGCACAAGGTGTAATAGACCCTCCACTTCACCATCCGCCGCAGCTGGGCGGCAGGGCTGGCCCTCGGGGTGCCGGCAGAGGAGGGTCTACCGTATTGACGCTAGGGTGGAGGTGGCCGCGGTGAGAAAAAAAGATGGGTTTTCCTGCTGGTACAAAGCAATGACTGCAGTCATAAGACAGGGAACACACTTTTACAAAGCGGGTAGTTTGGAGACTGGCAGGGGGGTCGTAGCAAACGCTTCCCCTCTGGCCGAGCCGGTTCAGAGAACTCCAGGCCTTGGAAATGGGGAGCTCCGCAGAGCATTCTGTCCCTACCCTGCTGCCCGCAGCCGTGCCCACTGCCTCGGGGTCGGCGGCGTCGCACTCGACTGGGCTGTCCCCACGCGGCGTGAGGACAAAGCTGCGGCGGCAGATTGCGGTGGGCGCCCAGGGCATTCCTGCCGGGGCCCTCCCGCCTCCTTCCGAGCCGCGCCAGTGCACGCGGATGTCTCAGCTCACTGGCTCTGCCCCTCCAAGAGCAGCCGGCTAGGGACCCACGGTCTGCATGATGATGGAAGGGGGAGAGGTTCCTGGAGTGCTATTCCTCCCCAAGTTTCCTGGGGGCCGGGGGGTGGGAACTTCAGGCCTCTTTCCATTGTAGTTTTGATTGAACATTTATTAAGCTCTCAACATTGAACAATAGTTCAAGGGCTTTCCATGAATGGGCTTTTCCATTTAACGTTAAAAACAGTTTTTGAGAAACTCCCAGTTAGAAAGCGGGAGACGGAGGCTCAGAAAGTCACCCTCGAATCCTGGAGAGTCTTCCCAACCCTCCCACAAGGCCGTCTGGGGGCCCGATAGCGCTTTTCTGGCGGGAAACCCAGCGAGGTGGTGGAGAGGGGAAGAAGGCAGGTGGAGTGGGAATGTGGTGGGCTCTCGCTGCAGGAGGGTGAGAAGAGCGGGTGAGGCCAGGAATCCCACACGGGGCGCTTGCTTCGACCCCGGCGGGATCGTGGAAACACCTTGGACTCCCGGAGCGTACGGGGAAATCAAGGGGATCTGCCAGGCGCTTCTTCCCAAACAGTCCACAAAGAGTCAAAGCAGGATTCGAGAACTTAGGTAAAGGGCAGGCAAGGCAGCCCCGAATTTCTGCGCCAGGACGGGCACTCTTAGATCCGGGTAGGCCTCGCCCTCCAGGCCCTGGGCGGACTTCCAAAAGACAGTCACGACTTCGAAGTCAGTTTTCGCAATTTGCATTCGAGCCGCCCCCGCCAAGTGCCAGGTGCGCACAGACGTCCCGGCCCGGGCGGGAGAGAGAGAAGTGCGCAGAGGCGGCGGCGTACTGCGGTCCTGCCGCCCCGAGCCCTGGCTCAGCCCCGCCACCCCCGGGTCTGACGTTTCCCCCGCAGGCCCTCCCCGGCCAAGTGCGCACTCGTTGCCCGCGTGGGGCCCGACGTGCGTCAGGCCCTTCGGAGGTGGTTGAAGCGGTGGCTGCAGGGCGTTAGCGGAGGCGCTGCTTTGGCTTCCCACCTCCTCCCCTTCCAGTGGCTAGATCCTGCAGAGGAGGGGCCGCGTGAGGGGAGGCAGAGTGCGGAGCGGGGAGACCTAGATGGGTCGATCTGAAGTCGATTCGGGTGTGGAGTGGCGGGCATCAGCCTAGCAGCAGGGCAGGGGCGAGAAGGCTGGGGAGAGCGCGGGGCGGGAGGCGGGGCGGGGGTGGGCAGCGCCGAGGAGGGAGCCGCAGTATTAAAATACAAGGAGGCTCCGGTCCTGCCACTGCGGGCCTCCATCCCCCGCCCTCGGCCGCCGCCTGTGTGGAGTGATAATCGGGCTCTGAGCACCGCCGCCGAGCAGGCCGTAAATCCGCATCCATCACCGCGCAGCCATTCGGTCGGAATTAGCCAGTCACTATGGCCTTAATTACTTTGTCAAAGATGAAAAATAGTAATTGATTTTGCCCTCGATCGCTCTGCTCCCCCTCCTCCTCTTGCAGTTAAGCAAATAAATAGCTATTTTTGAAAACTCGCGTCTACCGGGCAGAATGTGGAGGTGGGGAGGGGGGAGAATTTAGTGAAAAAGAGGCCATCCAGTGGCAGCCCTGACGCCAGAGCTTGTATCAAGTCGCAGGGGGCAAACTGGGACCCAGGCAGGAGAGGACTAGAAGCTCAGCCTTTCGCATTCAAGGTGCTGCCCTCAACCGCGCTAGAGGAGGAGAAAAAAGGGAGAGGAAACGGCGTTTAACAAGCCCTGGCTCTGGTGTTAACCTGGCGCTTGCGGTGCCAGCTTCCTCGCGTCCGCAGGGCAGCAGGTGACAAACAGCTGCCTGGCCAGTTTGACAGAATGGCGAAGAAACTTGCCTAAGGTCAGAGCGCAGAGCCAGAATTTGAGCCCACGTCAGTGCTGACTCTGGTCCATTGTCTGTATCTATGTTCAGATGATTTTGCTATGAGCCACAAACACCCAGAACTTCTATAGATGACAGGTGCATGGACTCAATGTGGGTTTCAGGTGACAGTGATAAAACAGGAGGAAAGCCATGCAGTATTTTTGTCCCTCTTGTCTGCTACCGCCTGGTTCTACTGGAGCGTTGTTCTGTGTTAAGAATGTGGGCTCTGCCAGACACACTACCCCACCTCCTGGCTCTGTGATCTTGGGGAGAAATTCTCAACCTGTAAAATGAGGATAATAAGAATATGTATTAAC